TACCTGTGGTTGTCATAGTTGTTGTGGTAGTAGTTGGTGCAGGTGTCGTAGGATTTGCTACTGGGCTTGCTGAAAAAGAAAACATAAATTTAAATAAATTTTTTTATTTGTGAGATTGTTGCTTTACTTTACTTTTTTGTACATACAGGTCACGACCAGATTGCCAAAAGTGCTATTTCCACGCTCGAGAGATTGTGCAAGATTGTTATTTGATGGAAGATCGCTTATAGGCACTGAACGTGGAAATGTAATTGTCAGATCTACATCAGTGGCACTGACTCTCACAATGACTTGTTGTGCAGAGGACCTGTATTCAAAATATCAAACAAAAAACATGAAATGGTCAGTCACATGAACACAATATTATGAGCCAACATCAGCTGTACAATGTGGAACTGTAGCATGAATAAATTAATCAAATTGCACCATGTTAAGGATAGGACAAAAGGTGAATGTTTTTTGAATATTTACCAGTAATAAAAGAATAAAGAAAACGTCACCAATTAGCTTAAATCTTACCTGAATCGGTTTGCACTGCATGTAGAACCTGAAACTTGATAGATTTCATCTAGTTTTTCTTTACACTAAAACAAAATTATGTCATTAATATGCTAAAATGTGGGATTACATTTTTAGAACACGCAGATGTACTTACATTTCTTTCTACTTTGACTTTAAGATTTTTATGTTCTACACTGTTAATATCTCCATAAGCGTCTACATAGGGTTCAAACTTCAGTGTTCCTTGGACTTCATAAACTGATGCTGTGGCTGGGGCATTAGTTGTGGTTGGAGGAGCCGTAGTTGTAGTTGTTGTAGGGGCAGCTGTAGTTGTTGTAGGGGCAGCTGTTGTAGTTGTAGGGGCAGCTGTAGTTGTTGTAGGGGCAGCTGTTGTAGTTGTAGGGGCAGCTGTAGTTGTTGTGGGGGCAGCTGTTGTAGTTGTAGGGGCAACTGTAGTTGTGGTTGTAGGAGCAGCTGTAGTTGTGGTTGTAGGGGCAGCTGTAGTTGTGGTTGTAGGGGCAGCTGTAGTTGTGGGGGCAGCTGTAGTTGTTGCGGGGGCAGCAGTTGTAGTTGTAGGGGCAGCTGTAGTTGTAGTTGTAGGGGCAGCTGTAGTTGTTGTAGGGGCAGCTGTAGTTGTTGTGGGGGCAGCAGTTGTAGTTGTAGGGGCAGCTGTAGTTGTGGGGGCAGCTGTAGTTGTTGCGGGGGCAGCAGTTGTAGTTGTAGGGGCAGCTGTAGTTGTAGTTGTAGGGGCAGCTGTAGTTGTAGTTGTAGGGGCAGCTGTAGTTGTTGTGGGGGCAGCTGTAGTTGTTGTAGGGGCAGCTGTAGTTGTGGTTGTGGGGGCAGCTGTAGTTGTTGTGGGGGCAGCTGTTGTAGTTGTAGGGGCAGCTGTAGTTGTGGTTATAGGGGCAGCTGTAGTTGTGGTTGTGGCAGTGTGTGGGGCAGCTGTAGTTGTGGGGGCAGCTGTTGTAGTTGTAGGGGCAACTGTAGTTGTGGTTGTAGGGGCAGCTGTAGTTGTGGTTGTAGGGGCAGCTGTAGTTGTTTGTTGGGGCAGCTGTAGTTGTGGTTGTAGGGGCAGCTGTAGTTGTGGTTGTAGGGGCAGCTGTAGTTGTGGTTGTGGGGGCAGCTGTAGTTGTAGTTGTAGGGGCAGCTGTAGTTGTTGTGGGGGCAGCTGTAGTTGTGGTTGTAGGGGCAGCTGTAGTTGTAGTTGTAGGGGCAGCTGTAGTTGTGGTTGTGGGGGCAGCTGTAATTGTAGTTGTAGGGGCAGCTGTAGTTGTTGTAGGGGCAGCTGTAGTTGTTGTGGGGGCAGCTGTAGTTGTTGTGGGGGCAGCTGTTGTGTTGTAGTTGTAGGGGCAGCTGTAGTTGTTGTAGGGGCAGCTGTAGTTGTTGTGGGGGCAGCTGTTGTAGTTGTAGGGGCAGCTGTAGTTGTTGTGGGGGTAGCTGTAGTTGTAGTTGTCGGGGCAGCTGTAGTTGTAGTTGTAGTAGGGGCAGCTGTAGTTGTTTGCCGGGGCAGCTGTTGTAGTTGTAGGGGCAGCTGTAGTTGTTGTGTCGGGGCAGCTGTTGTAGTTGTAGGGGCAGCTGTTGTAGTTGTAGGGGCAGCTGTAGTTTGTTGTAGGGGCAGCTGTTGTAGTTGTAGGGCAGCTGTAGTTGTTGTAGGGGCAGCTGTTGTAGTTGTAGGGGCAGCTGTAGTTGTTGTAGGGGCAGCTGTAGTTGTGTTGTAGGGGCAGCTGTTGTAGTTGTAGGGGGCAGCTGTAGTTAGTTGTTGTGGGGGGCAGCTGTTGTAGTTGTAGGGGCAGCTGTAGTTGTTGTAGGGGCAGCTGTTGTAGTTGTAGGGGCAGCTGTAGTTGTAGTTGTAGGGGCAGCTGTTGTAGTTGTAGGGGCAGCTGTAGTTGTTGTCGGGGCAGCTGTTGTAGTTGTAGGGGCAGCTGTAGTTGTTGTAGGGGCAGCTGTAGTTGTAGTTGTAGTTGTAGGGGCAGCTGTAGTTGTAGTTGTAGGGGCAGCTGTAGTTGTAGTTGTAGGGGCAGCTGTTGTAGTTGTAGGGGCAGCTGTAGTTGTAGTTGTAGGGGCAGCTGTTTGTAGTTGTAGGGGCAGCTGTTGTAGTTGTAGGGGCAGCTGTAGTTGTAAGTTGTAGGGGGCAGCTGTTGTAGTTGTAGGGCAGCTGTAGTTGTTGTCGGGGCAGCTGTTGTAGTTGTAGGGGCAGCTGTAGTGTTGTTGTAGGGGCAGCTGTAGTTGTTGTCGGGGCAGCTGTTGTAGTTGTAGGGGCAGCTGTTGTAGGGCTGTTGTAGTTGTAGGGGCAGCTGTAGTTGTTGTCGGGGCAGCTGTTGTAGTTGTAGGGCAGCTGTAGTTGTTGTCGGGGCAGCTGTTGTAGTTGTCGGGGCAGCTGTAGTTGTTGTAGGGGCAGCTGTTGTAGTTGTAGGGGCAGCTGTAGTTGTTGTCGGGGCAGCTGTTGTAGTTGTAGGGGCAGCTGTAGTTGTTGTAGGGGCAGCTGTTGTAGTTGTAGGGGCAGCTGTTGTAGTTGTTGTAGGGGCAGCTGTAGTTGTAGTTGTAGGGGCAGCTGTAGTTGTTGTCGGGGCAGCTGTAGTTGTTGTAGGGGCAGCTGTTGTAGTTGTAGGGGCAGCTGTAGTTGTTGTAGGGGCAGCTGTTGTAGTTGTAGGGCAGCTGTAGTTGTAGTTTGTAGGGGCAGCTGTTGTAGTTGTAGGGGCAGCTGTAGTTGTTGTAGGGCAGCTGTTGTAGTTGTAGGGGCAGCTGTAGTTGTTGTAGGGGCAGCTGTTGTAGTTGTAGGGGCAGCTGTAGTTGTTGTCGGGGCAGCTGTTGTAGTTGTAGGGGCAGCTGTGTTGTAGTTGTAGGGGCAGCTGTAGTTTGTTGTCGGGGCAGCTGTTGTAGTTGTAGGGGCAGCTGTAGTTGTTGTCGGGGCAGCTGTAGTTGTTGTAGGGGCAGCTGTTGTAGTTGTAGGGGCAGCTGTAGTTGTTGTCGGGGCAGCTGTAGTTGTTGTCGGGGCAGCTGTTGTAGTTGTCGGGGCAGCTGTAGTTGTTGTAGGGGCAGCTGTTGTAGTTGTAGGGGCAGCTGTAGTTGTTGTAGGGGCAGCTGTTGTAGTTGTAGGGGCAGCTGTAGTTGTTGTAGGGGCAGCTGTTGTAGTTGTAGGGGCAGCTGTAGTTGTTGTAGGGGCAGCTGTTGTAGTTGTAGGGGCAGCTGTAGTTGTTGTAGGGGCAGCTGTAGTTGTAGTTGTGTAGGGGCAGCTGTAGTTGTTGTCGGGGCAGCTGTAGGGGCAGTTGTAGTTGTAGGGGCAGCTGTTGTAGTTGTAGGGGCAGCTGTAGTTGTTGTAGGGGCAGCTGTTGTAGTTGTAGGGGCAGCTGTTGTAGTTGTAGGGGCAGCTGTAGTTGTTGTGGGGGCAGCTGTTGTAGTTGTAGGGGCAGCTGTAGTTGTTGTCGGGGCAGCTGTTGTAGTTGTAGGGCAGCTGTAGTTGTAGTTGTAGGGGCAGCTGTAGTTGTTGTAGGGGCAGCTGTTGTAGTTGTAGGGGCAGCTGTAGTTGTTGTCGGGGCAGCTGTTGTAGTTGTAGGGGCAGCTGTAGTGTGTTTTGTAGTTGTTGTAGGGGCAGCTGTTGTAGTTGTAGGGGCAGCTGTAGTGTTGTAGGGGCAGCTGTTGTAGTTGTAGGGGCAGCTGTAGTTGTTGTCGGGGCAGCTGTTGTAGTTGTCGGGGCAGCTGTAGTTGTTGTAGGGGCAGCTGTTGTAGTTGTAGGGGCAGCTGTAGTTGTTTGTCGGGGCAGCTGTTGTAGTTGTAGGGGCAGCTGTAGTTGTTGTCGGGGCAGCTGTTGTAGTTGTAGGGGCAGCTGTAGTTGTAGTTGTAGGGGCAGCTGTTAGTTGTTGTCGGGGCAGCTGTTGTAGTTGTAGGGCAGCTGTAGTTGTTGTGGGGCAGCTGTTGTAGTTGTAGGGGCAGCTGTAGTTGTTGTCGGGGCAGCTGTTTTGTAGTTGTAGGGGCAGCTGTAGTTGTTGTCGGGGCAGCTGTTGTAGTTGTAGGGGCAGCTGTAGTTGTTGTCGGGGCAGCTGTTGTAGTTGTCGGGGCAGCTGTAGTTGTTGTAGGGGCAGCTGTTGTAGTTGTCGGGGCAGCTGTAGTTGTTGTCGGGGCAGCTGTTGTAGTTGTAGGGGCAGCTGTAGTTGTTGTCGGGGCAGCTGTTGTAGTTGTAGGGCAGCTGTAGTTGTTGTCGGGGCAGCTGTAGTTGTTGTAGGGGCAGCTGTTGTAGTTGTAGGGGCAGCTGTAGTTGTTGTAGGGGCAGCTGTTGTGTTGTAGGGCAGCTGTAGTTGTTGTCGGGCAGCTGTTGTAGTTGTGTAGGGCAGCTGTAGTTGTTGTCGGGGCAGCTGTTGTAGTTGTAGGGGCAGCTGTAGTTGTTGTCGGGGCAGCTGTAGTGTAGTTGTAGGGGCAGCTGTTGTAGTGTTGTAGGGGCAGCTGTAGTTGTTGTAGGGGCAGCTGTTGTAGTTGTAGGGGCAGCTGTAGTTGTTGTCGGGCAGCTGTAGTTGTTGTAGGGGCAGCTGTTGTAGTTGTAGGGGCAGCTGTAGTTGTTGTAGGGGCAGCTGTTGTAGTTGTCGGGCAGCTGTAGTTGTTGTCGGGGCAGCTGTTGTAGTTGTAGGGGCAGCTGTAGTTGTTGTGGGGGCAGCTGTCGTAGTTATAGGGGCAACTGTACTTATGGTTTGAGCGTCCACAATTACTCCTTGTACTAGAATTAGAAGAAAAAAAACATGTTTAAATTAATGCTGTATCTATGAGCTGTAGACCAAAATGCAGGTTATATAACAAGATTTTCAGTAATTTTTTACCTACCCAATATAATTAATAGCACTGTTCTGACTTTTTCACTCCCCATTTTGTCTGCAAACCTTTATTAAGAAAGATATACAAAACATACCAATAAATTACGGTTGTATTTTTCAATTGTATATAAGATGTAGTATTTAATTATACTCACAATAAAAAGCAAATAAGGCTTAATTCTTCTCAATGTGATGATTAATCTGTAAGTGCCTCTCCCAATCTGTTCACTTTGAAGGGCACCTGCCTCCTAATATACCCTCATAGCATGTGACGTGTAGCTGATGATACATTGAACTAAAATGTTTTGAAAAGTTCTGTGATGTCACTCATTGTTGACTTAGTGTTATTAAGGCACTCCCTTTACCACATATTTTGGTATTCTTACACTGATACAAACCAGTAATCTTTAATTATGTTCATCTGAATGATATCTGTATTTGATTAATCTAAAAGACATATTTTACTTTAAATATTTAGAAAAAAATCACAAACATCAGACTATGCCATATGTAGGCTATATTGTATGTTTATAAAGTACTGAGCAATGAAAAAAAAGATTACTTCCCTCTGGACATGTTTTGATACTTTTTTCTTAATTTGTTTGTACTATTTCTTTTAACAGACTTGAAAACCAAATACAAGACAAGAAGAAAGAAAAGAGGTGAGGATGGGGGAGGTGTATATTTTGTCCCTTTCCAAAATTATATTACATTTTACATTACATTTTATTTTTATTTGTGTAATTATAAGGGCAATAGACCTACATCATCTGCATACTTCTTATATCTGTAGTTGCCAGCCTGTTTATTTTTTAGGTTGCTTTTGCAAATAAAACAATATCTTGAATCTGAATTTCTGCCCCCACGACCCGGCCCAGGATAAGTGGAAGAAAATGGATGGATGGATCTTGAATTTAAATGATCTCACAAACATGATAACATTCTTCCACTGTTCAATCAACTTCTGCAGATGTAGTTTCACTGCTTGCTGGATATGAGACATGCTGACATCATTACAGAACAGCACCACCATGTGTTAGTAAGTGTATATTACATCTCCATAGATAAGCCTTACAAACGTAGGCATGTGTTTTCAAAATGTTCCATTTACTTTTTACAGTGGGCCATTCTTTGTCCTCAAATATAGTCCACTCTTCACTATTTACCTGGACTTAGTTATCAGTGTAATAAAATTACATAGAATATGTCTACTCTTGAGGAGTAGACAACACGTCTACTCATTAAAAAATGTTTGTGATTGTGATAATACGAGCTCAACGTTCTGACTGACCACTCACCATATTGCTGTATAATATCGGATCCGGAATTGTGTATAATTCACTGTCAGCAAAAATGTACATCTGTGTATAGGTGAAATAGGTCTTTTATGGGATAAATTGTTCAACAGTGTTATACAGTGTTTGATGGAATAACAAAATGAGGTGATTAGATTAGACTAAACATAGGCTATTTATGTTTAAGCTACAGTAGCCCAAGGCTGCTTAAAATTTCCCAGGCATATCCACAATATCTCTTTGCAGCGGTGTGTCCTCCAGGCAAACCTAAAATTGCGAGCCACTTAAAATAATTAAATTTAATGGGCTGGATACCTAACATGAATCTTACAACTGGATAATTTATTCTTGCTATAATCGTTTGTCTTTTTACTGTAATAAAATTAGGCCACAATTCCTATTTTACAGACTGCGAAAAGCACAAAAAACGAGTAAAACCTGGAGCTTTGTCTCCCCCTTGTGACGAGAGGAAATAGCCTATTGCTGGGTTCTCATAACCGAAAAATAAGCCTGCCCCTTAGATCCCGTGCACAGGTAGGCTATGAGAAGGCCCTTCTCTGGAGAATAACTAAGCAGGAGTAGTGTATCCTTTGGCAAGTTATTTCAGGTATGAGACATGTCCACTCAGTCACTATAATTTGATGAACTGATGTGAAAAAGAGGTTAATAGGCGCTCGGAGTCTGGTATGCTGGTGAGTCGGGACTTGATCGACTTGGACTGTGGGTCATTGAACTTGACACATGATTTTATATTACTAGTACTTCCATGGTGTGTGCCTAAACTTGTCAGACAATGATTAGAGTATGCTCAAACTGCATCCACTGAATCAGCTCCAGGCCTATGAACTAAATGCCCTGTTTTACTGTCCAGTCGCTATAGTGAAAACCATGTCTTAGTTTAAGATGAACGAGATCAAATAATCAAAATGGGTGGTTGACATTAAAATACCTCTCGTTTTTCAACACTACTGGATTAAGAATTCTATGGGTGGACCACACGGTGGCGCTATTTGGGATTTCGTGCTCTCCTGTGCATCCCATGGTGCATCCCCCTAAAACGCCCCCATAGCTCACGGAACCAACAGCGCTCAGTGCATATGTGACAGGAACCCTGCACTTCAGCGCCGGGCCACTGCTGAACTCTGCTCGGAGTTGGACCACCATCACCACCGGCTTGCCCTGACAAACTTCGCAGCTGAACAGTGAACCGAGGTTCGGTTCGGTACAACAATAACCTGTCGCTCTGTCGACGTCTAGTTTGCTGGTAGCCCGCAGGCAGAACAGGACTGAAGTGCAAATGGCAGCGCCGGAGACGCTGAGCCAGATAACCGAGGACAAGTCTGAGCAGCCGGGGTCTGGCGCTGGTCAGACGGGCAGAGCGGTGGCTCTCGCTCGGCTGCTGCACCACGAATCTTCCCATCTTCTCCAGCTATTTGTAAGACCTGTCTCCCTTTATGTTGTGTTATTTGCACTAGACACAGTCTCCTCTTTTTATCGATAGTTCTTCAATAGTTCTTTCCGCATCCTGCTGTACCCGCAGTCATGTAAGGGCTATTGTCTCATACATCAATTAGCCTACACTTTTCACTGTCAAGTGTGAAATTAGTCTCGAAAACAACAAAACAAGTGCTTATTATGGTGATTCTTAGTTTAACAAAGTGATAATGGCTGCTTTTAGAAGGAGAAGGAGTCGTTCTTTGAGGACTACACCCCCGATGGTGGTCGTATAGTGTCCCTATCTGCAGAGTCCGAAGAGCCCAGCACTGAGGAGCAGGTACTGGTGATGCACTCAGCACTGCGGCAGTGTCTGGGGCTCATTCACTCTGTCATACTGAAGGAAGAGGAGGAGTGGGGAGAGTTGGAGGGAGACTATGAAAGCATGAGGAAAAACGTCCGCCAGCGGCTTGAGTACTTACTTCACACCACCAAAGCCTTGATGCAAACTGAAGAGACAATCCTGGAAGTCACTCCAGACCACCAGTGCACAGAGGTACGGGACACATCTTATGCAGGAATAGAGCCACATATTTAATCTCTGTGCTTTTCCTTGTTTATCTGTTAATTCAATCATTAGTACCCTTTTTCTGTAATGAATCAAATGATTATTTAAATTATATACACAATTTCTGAATGTGTTATTCAAACAGTGGTTGATGAAGTACTAAATTTTGTTACCTTACGTAAAAGTACAAATATCAGAGCAAAGAAATGCTCAAGTAAAAGTATCACATGAAAAAAATCAACATACGTAAAAACCTTGAAGTACTTAAAAAATTTACTTCAAGGGTAAAAAATAAAACTATTTCGAGCAGTTTTTGAGGTCTAATAAAGCTTCAAACGTATGAATTTTGTTCAATAGAAACAGTTGAATGGACTGATTTTTTTCCTAGCTGTATTCGTATATTTTTGTAACTACAAATTAGTTAAAAATAAAATAAACCCTCAGCCCTTTTAGCAGGTCTCAATCAATCATAAAAAATACTTTTACTTTTCAGTCCAGTTCAAAAATGTAGTGGAGTAGAAAGTATCTAGTTGAAAAACTATTCAATGCAAGTTTCATTGCAATTTTTTTGAGTAAGTCTGTGTTTTAATGGCATTTCACATCTGTACTGTAAGACTTTAGTTTTATATATTGAAACAAAACATTAGCTGCACTAATTTGGTTTAGTTAGCGCTGTTTTCTCTACAAATGTCTGAACTTAGGAATGCAACATCCCAAACACCCACAGTACAAAGGATTCACAAACAATGGCATACCACATCAACAAACCGGGCTTTCACAGAAGAAACACAATAAATATACTAATAATTATGAAAACTCATTTAGTATAAGAGACAATTCTCATGCGAGAAATTTGGGGAAATCTATGCATCAAGGTTCAGACAGTGTTTAAATAATACATTTTGCAGTTTTGGAGTTTATTTCAATATTTTAACTTTGAGAATAAAACCTGATTTGTGAATTTTACAAATGTTCCTACTGTCTTACACAGGAAGTCGATGGTTCTGCTGGGGTCTTTGCACTGAAAATGTGGACCTATAGAGTGTTGTTGGAGCTTGTCCACTGGGCTGACCATGCAGCAAACACTCTTTACAAACTCCACTCGGAGAGGGGGGGAAAAGACCAAAACTAAACTCAGCAGCTCTGAATGAACTCATGCGACACTAACAGCCAGCTTTCCCTGTTAAATATTCCAAATTAAAATAAAACTGTGTGGAATAAAGGCATGCGAACACTTGATATAAGAGGAAATGTACTACTTAACTAAACATTACAAAACTCCTTGAACAAAGCCTTTTCAGACAGCTTTTGCAAGATGATGGTATTTCTAAAGTAAGTGCTAAATGACCTTCACTTTCCCACAGTTACCAATAGAGTTTTAACTTTAAAAAGTTTGAATTGTGAAGTGGCTGATCTAGGTGTTATCTTTTGGATATAACATTGTATTTATTTTATTTATGTAACTGACACTAACAAATGCATTATACTTAGAATGTAGCCAAAACATGACTGTTATACTGTGACTGAAGTGCAACCAAGTCCTGTACTCTTTATCTATTTCAAGTCTAATATTCCTTTACTAAAAGTATTTATTCCAATCACTTTCCTGTTTTGATAGTAGATGGAATGCCTGTGTTGTTTTGGTTTGGCACAGTTTACTGTGATCAAATGTTTGCTGCTCACATTTCTCCTGGTAATACTGTATACTTGAATGTGCTGCTACACTGTCAAGGGCTTCATCTTGAAGCTTCATTATTGTATTGTATGCATTGTGAACAGATGGAGAAGCTGCAGTAAAGCTTTTAATAGTTGTCAAAATATTATCCTAAACTGTAATATTTGTAACACACACGTGTGCAAATTAGCTGTGACTTCATTCGTTTTGTAACACTGTTGATTATTTTTTTTATTGTTATAGATTACAGTGTGTATCAAAAATAAAACCAATGTAACTCCTTAGATCTCTAGACTTCCACTTTGCCTACAAAAACGTGACTATAACGAGCAGTTTGAGTAAAATAATAAAAATGAGAAATAAGATCAATACAGTACTTGTTTTATACATGGGGAGCGATTGTGATGTTTTTGGCAGATGATAGATGGTTGATGTTGTGCACATGCGCATTGCTCCCTACAGGAGCCTGAGAGGCAGGCTCCTGTAGGGAGCAATGGCGGAGAGTGTACGCTCGCCTTTTGACTACCGGGAGCCCCCGACCCTCGACAGCGACGGGGATGGCAGCAAGCCGCCACCGCGGGGGTGAGTGCAGTTCGGGTGTATCCAGGTCACTGCTGCTGTGCACACAATGCACGTTTGTTGAGTTACTACTATTTGAGTATATTGTGCACGGTTTCATGTTAATATGCAGAAAAAGCACCTGAAAACCTGTATTCCGGGTAGTTTGTTTGGTATAATCGTGGATATTCTGCGTGCACCTATCTTTTGCCACGTTTATACACTGTTAATTGTCGAGTCGTTGTTGATTTTCTTATGTTTGACGAGAGTAAAAGTCCCGATGTTAGCTATTAGGGGCTAATCAGCTAGCCCTTAGCAACATTGCATGCTAGCACATACTCGGAATGTGCCTTGTTGTTCCACCCATTAGGAATATCTGCATCCTTCTGTTTATTTTGCATTCTCTACCATCATTTTACCCCAGTGGTCTGTGAACCATGTCTCTCAGCTGGTCACTCCGTGGTCACGGTTGGTTGCCCACATGCACCCCTAACACTGGGATTGAGAAGATCCATATGTGCTGCACATTTTTTAAATGGCTATGCTATAGACGCAGTGTATTTATCTGTAATTACAGAGTTTGTCTTAAGCATTTTATATCAGCCCTGTCCACATCCTGGGGCCTTGCGCTTATTTATTTAGCTGTTATTTTTGTCTTCTACTTTTACAGTCGGGTGTGTGGAAGAAAGAGAAAGGGAACTCCTGTGAAGGTGTGTGACCGAGTGTATGTAACAGAAGATGAGGAGGAGGAGAGCTTGTCTGAACACAGCTACAGTCCTGGTAGGTCTGCTGTACTCTGAAAATTAAAAATGATTACTTTGTGTGGGTGTGGCCAAAAATGTTTGATACTGGTGACACATAATTTACCTTCTGGGATTATCTCTCAGGTGAGGGCCAGTACCCAGAGGGAGCAGAAGACCACCTGGCTCCACCTGGAAGTCCATACTACCTTCCTGATCCGGCCCAGCTTTGGTAAGATGGAAATAATAAAATTAAACTTGCCTAAACTTGCAATATAATTAAACATTGTTTTGGTCTGTGGGTTATTAGTGTGCCAGAGCTTGGGGAGGATGGAGGTGCTGGTGTTGGGGGCCCAGTGCTGTTTCACCCTCCTCCAAACTGTCGTATTCAGGAAGTTCACTGTGGCTCCCAGGTACGGCTGGTTGTCATAGCGATACGTGACATCGCTAAAGGGGAGGAAATCACTGTCGACTACAGCCTTGGTGACTGGGGTGACAATGCAATGGTGAGCTCAAATATTTAATGAACATATAAATATCAGGAAACCCTCACATGTTGAAGTCTTGAGTTAATAATAAAAAAAGGTGTGTCTAAACCAGGATGTGATTGAAACTATGACTATAAAAAAAAATTTCTAAACCTTTTCAATTTTTCATCTATTGTTGGGCTTATATGAAATGTGCTGCTGATCCAAATCTAAAATATATGTAAGCTGCCTGCACTAAATTGTTCTGTCAACTAGATTAACTGGTCTGCGTTGTGTCTTTGCACTCTACCAGGAGGACAACCCTGGCCCACACCCACTGTCCCTCTCTGTGTCAGATTACCTCACTCCATCCTGGTCCCTGTCCCCGTCCTCCTCCCCGCTGACTCTCTCTGAGGCCAGTGACTCGGACCGCGAGGAAGATGAGGAGGAAGAAGATGATGATGACGACGATGAAGAGGAGGAGATTGAGGACATTCGAGGCAGGATGCTTCGGCGCCGCAAAAAACGCAAGATCCCCATGTCCGTAAACTCTAAAAAGAAAAGTTCCCCCACTACATCACATAGAGGACCGGGTCGCCCGTGCTCCTCTTTCTCTCGACCTATTGCACCGGCGGTTAGGTCCCAAGTTCAACCACCTCTGAGCACTATAGCCCCGCCTACTACTAACATCAACAATAACATTAACATAAACATCAGCAGCTCCAGTAGCACAGTATTGAATCATCGCCAGCATTGTCCTTACTGTGGGCGCAATTTCCGCTCTCTGGCACGCCACCTGGAGAAGTACCATAGCAACCAGCCTGAAGTTAGGACTGCAATGGAAATGGCTCACCTTCATAATCACTCAAATGGCAATATCACGCACAATCACTCTGCAGTGTCCACCTCTACATCCCAAAACCATTCATTCACGGTACCACAACACTCCAGCGCTCCCTCTCTTTTCTCCAGAGAAAGAGAATCGCCAGCAGGACGCTCAAGTCAAGTCTCATTCTCACTTTCAATGCCATCTTCCACTCAGCAGCCCAGCAAAAAGGGACCTGGTTTACCTTCAGGGAATTCAAAACCCCATACAGCTCCCCCTGTTGTTCAAAGGGTTAAAAGTCCATCTCCTCCTGCATCTTTGCACAAGAGAGGACGGAGGCTGAAGAAGGAGAATCAGACAGGCCCTCAAAAATCTGAAGTGGACATTTTGGGAAATCAAGATGAGTTGGTTCCTCCCCCGACCCCAGAGCCCAATGTGGATCCAGAGGAAGATCTAGACTTGAGTGCTGGAGAAGAGGAATCACCAGCTCAAAAGAATGGAGAGATGGGGAGGTATGTATGTTTATTGACTTCTAGAGCTGAGTACTACTCTTTTATTTCATTTACAGCTTTTACTTACAAGTGCATTGTGTGTTTTTCTGGTGGAGGGTTCGTCAAATTCTTTTCTCCGTGGAGATGTTATTGCTTTGTCTGGAAAGTTTCACAGTATGGTATTAAGTCTTTCTTTATTCATGGAGACCACACAAAGTTACCTGTCAGATCTGTGGAGAGGTTACCCTGCTCACAGTCTGAATACCTGTTTTTCTAGGTATTTTTGAGCTATAAAACCACCTGTGATTTAATAAATATAAAGTAGAGCCTGTTTAAAATCATACTGTGGAACATTCCATGCGAAGAAGCAGGTGACAGACCCCCAACCAAAAAGTTAAATAGTGCACCTTTAAACAAAATACTAAATATTACCTACCTAAACTGCACTAACCATGATCTAGAAATAAAAAAAAACAAAATGGTATAATAAATTCCAACTGGTACTGTTTTTCTATAGTTAATTATTTATGTGTGATCATACCGCTAACCAACTTTTAATGGGAGATGACAAAATTGTAAAAACAAAACAACTTTACAAGAACTGCACCAAGATATTTTGTATTTAGTGAAACATTAAGCTTGGAAAAAATACTGTCTGCAACCTCTGAAATATTTTCTGTTTATCAAAAGTGTGTTCCCAATATCTGACCAAAAGCACATCAATGCCCACAGGTCAGGTGCATTGTCCTTGAACAAGTCTCCCATTCAGTCTGCCTGACATTATATTTGTATAACAATCATTTTTTCTTACTAGTGTTATTACAATACCTCAAAGCCATTTTTATGTTTTTCACAGTATCCAATCCTAGTGACTACCATTTGTTGATTGTTATTTTATCTAGACAAAAGCCTTGGTGAGTTATTTATTTCTGTTGTATTTCCTTCTAGTTCTATCAAACCACACACGTCCCCGCTCCTGTCTTCTCTCTCCTGCCTGGTCCGGTACCTGCGGCATCAGCAGCACTCGTCCTTCCAGTCCCTCACCCGCTCTCCTCACTCTGCCGAAGCCTGGCGCCTCCTTTGCCACTCCAGCTTATCCCTACTCATTCTCTACAACCGTCACCGTGAATGTGAAGTTGCTAAACTCACCATCCAAGACTACTGCAACCGATCTTTGCCCCATGGAAACTCCCCCAGCAGCCCCGCCTCAGGTATGGAGGCTCTACTTTCCCCCTTTGAACGCCATGTGTTATGTCACTTGCCACGCGCTAGTGTTTTGGGTAAAAGAGGCCGCATCCAGCCGCTCATTCTGCCTCCACACTCTGAGTCCTGTTTAGACCTGCTTCTCCAAACCAGTCCAAATGTGGGAGTTGATCCACAGAGCCCCTACGTCTTCTCAAGGCCCTACCATTCTCCTGCAACGCCACTAAGAGGAACTGACCTTTTGAGGAACTTGGCTCGGGCCAGCGGTGCTAAAAACCCTGCACCTCTGACAGCCACACGAGCGCGGCGCCAGGTAGCCATCCTCACTCAGCTGCTGTTGCTGGATGAGGGGGAGGGGCAGTCAGCAGCGGTTAAACGCCTGGAGGACTTTCTCGATCAGCAATATAACGTGACTCAGAACTGTGCCAGTATTATCCAGGATCATTCACTCATGGGTCGTGTGGGTCGTGTTGTACTTTATGGAGAGAAGCAAGGTGTGCTGTTCCGAGGAATGAGTCTCCAGCAGATCTGCCTAGAATTGGATGGTAAGAAAATACAAAATTGTATATTACAAATCTTTTTTTTTTTTTTTTTTAAATATTGTTCTTCTACAGGGATTTCTTTTTTAGTTTTACTGTTTCAGTCACCCATACCCATATTTTATTTTCAGCATAAATGTGATTATATAGACAGAATCAATAGTGATTAGTTTATCTTCACATAAAGAATCAATTTTACAATGTTACAGTTGTATTAAAATCTTTTTTCTACAGTGATGTCTGGCAACTCTGCAGAATCCTTTTCAGAAGAATCTGAGCCTGAGCAGGTGAAGGAGGAGGTGAAGCAGAAGGTGGAGGTTCCTGTGAAGAAAAAAGGCAGAGGGCGACCTCCAAGGAAGAAGAAACCAGCAGCAGCCCGTCCTGCAGCTCCACCTACACCCAAGGACCCAAAAAAGAAGGCCAAGCCGCAGAAAACGGGTAAAGTCACTCTCATTATTACGGTAACCAATCTTGGATCTTTTCTATACTTTTTTTTTTTTTTTTTTTCAGGAAAGCGAGGTGTAGTGAAGCGTCCGTGGTCGGAGGCGGAGCGCTTGGCAGTAGAGACTCATTTAAAACAGAACCTCCTTGAGCATCGAGTTCCTGCTAAAGCAGACTGTGAGCGATGCCTCCAGCTGTGCCCAATGTTGGTGTGCAACCAGCGAGACTGGAGGGCCATTAAGTTTTATGTTCACAACCGAATCCAGCTCCTCAAGAAGCAGGACAGGAGGCTGATTGCAGCTGCAGCCTCCGTCTCATAGGGTAAGTGCATAGCAAAGGCCAAGGGTGGGAAACCTTGTCCCTAAGAGACACATTTGAATATTGCCATGTGATGGAGAGCCAGACCTGTACTACTGCTACTTTTACATTTTGGTTTAAAATGTGTTCCGAAAAACCTTCCAAATCCTGCTGAACCCTTTGCAGCCTGAACTATCAGCTCAAAATATTGTTTTATTCAAAGTTGATTTCAGATAGAAATATTAATCAGGTCACAGAATACCCACCTCTGTGTGTCAAAATGTTGCCTAAAACTGGGTGCATCTTTTTGGTGCAAGGTTTTGTTTTTTGTACTTGAGGTGATGATGAGGGAACTCCCTAACATTCACTGATAAGCAAGCTGTGAATGTTTTAATATTGTATGTAATTTCTACTTTACATAAACAGACTGAGGATGAAAAAACTAGAGTTGGCTTCTGTTGAAAGCTAATGACCAAACCTGAATGTGCATAACTGTGGAGGAACAGTTTTTTTTTTCCAGTGATAACCTTTTTGCTATTGGGACTGATGTATACTGTGTTTGTATAGTTTGTTTCATATCAAGCAGCGTTGTGCCCAGAGCGTAAAAAACGTATTCTTGGACTGTCATTCACCAGTGAAGTGGTTCGTGCATACCTCTAGTCTAAACCATTATCATAAATATGTATTAAGGCACGTCTACTTGAATTTATTGTATATCATTTTTTTATTTGTTGCAACATATGATTACATCCACAATGTAAATACATTAAAACTTGTTATATAAAGTCAGTATTGTGTAATGGTGTACATAATGTAAATGATACCTGTACTTATTAAAATGTATGACATTATTTTGTGTTTAATCAATCTGGATTTCTGGCTTTTACATTAGAACACAGCAATCTTTTAGTACATTAAACATAAACTACAAACACTACAGCACACGACACAACCAAGTCCAATAAAAAAAATAATAAAAAATTGGCTGATACAATTCTAGATCCATAGAAATTTTCATTCTGTGATAAAATAACATGCAAAAAATACAACTATTTACAGTATGCTTTCAAAATGACACTTGATTTGTAACCTCTTACAAACACCTCTAACATCTCAGAGAAATAGATTCTGTGCATGCTCTAGAATTGAATGATACCCCAAATATCAAAATGTATGATCAACCAATGTTTAAAATTTGACAAGGATAGGCTCCACAAATTTGCCATATTGTCTTTATTATGTTAAGAAGAAATTTAACTTTTTTTTTGTAGGCCCTGTAATTGCAGAGACATTAACCACAATTCAGGTCAACAAATCTGCAGCTCAGTTTTAAACTCCTTGATTTTAGGATGTTGTGATGTCACGTGAATGCAACCCCTTTAATGACTTTGTAGATTTTTATGTCAGGGAAGGGGCCTATATAGTAAGAGAATTATAACCCAAAATCAGCAACAGTAGAAGTAACTGGTAATTACATCAAATAATCACATCAAGACTTCATTCAGACCGGACTTTTTTAAGTAGGGCTGTCATCGACTAAAGAAATTCTTGATTAACTAAACACAAGACCAGCCGATCGATTAGCTGACTAAAAAAGGAGTGCGTCAGAGGCTCTCAAAACAGTTGTGTACCTAAGTATGTATGTGACCCAAACAAGACTACAACTACACAGGAGCCCATGGCAAAACTATTCACACCGAAAAAACACAAGGAAACAATGTATTTATATAAGATTAAACTTTTGAGTCATGAGAGTAATCTGCACTTTTTAAATCTAAATACCAAAAAAATACCAAATCTTCAGCCAAAACATTAAATTATCTTTTCTGCTGGTGTCCCATATAAATCCTTACAATCTAAATAAAATGACAAATATAGATTTTGGTAAACTAAAGACACCATCAATCGGTTAATCGACTAAACAACTAAAAGCCTGCAGTCCCACTATTAAGGGAATGCTCTGGAATTAGTTGGGTAAGACTTATTATTGCTAGCATTTTTTCTAGAATACCCAGGTATTAGACCAGCACACATACACTGACTTTCATGGTTTAGCTTTTTATATAAATGTATGTGTACAAAATTCTGTGAAGTTAATCCTAACCACTAAATTTCACTGCATACACCACATTTAACTATTAGATCATGTAATAATGACAACTAAAGCTATACATTTTAACGTAACTGTGGGAGATGGATTTATGTATTCACGATTTTTAACTAGTCACATTGTCAACAATAGTCTCTTCCAATGTTCCAATGTGTTTGTCATCTGGATCTCTAGCTACAGCGGGACCTCTATGTATAATCTCCATTGGTGATTGGTCCCCTTTACCGGGATTGAAAAGAGGAAAGACCGGCCCCGAAAACTTGGTCTTGAAAGAGCCAATTAAACAATTACTTTGCACATTGTAGAATTCTAGTTTTCCACAGTCATAATCCAACAACACACCAATCTTCTCTGGTTGGGCTTTAATTGGGAGTAAAATGGCAGGATCTGAATTGAACTGTAAGACTCCAGGATTATCAGGAGAAGAGGAAAGGAACCAAAAACCATTTTCAGTTGTTGGGTTAGTTGGAGAAAATTCAGACAGACTTGTTACACCAATCCACCAGGACTTTTTTGTGGGAACATTTTTTACTCCATTTAAGAACAGAGCAACTTCCCAGTAGTGTCTCCCAGATGTGAATCCAGTTGTTCCTCTGACAGCTGTGATACAGGTGACACTGTCTCCATCAGGAAACACAACATCGGCATCTCTCAGTTTATTTTTATGAATTTTAAGGAATTTATTATTACTCTCCTCAAGCTGAATGTTCTCTGTGGGGAAAAAAATCACATATAGCCTATATTGTCGTGTAACAATTTAGCAGAATTTTTTTAAAAGGCATTTTACCATAATTTTTCACAGCTGTATCAGGAACTGAAAACAAATCCACAAAAATAAAGATGACATATTTTAACAGTACTGCACAATTAAAATCTTTATCCATTTGTGATCACAATATTCACATAAAATTGAATGTTGCTTGTATCTTACCATCGGAAAGAAGATTCTCCAATTCGCCTGGATCTTGAAAACAGAAAAAAAAAAGCAGCGTTAACTAATAATTTGTGGAAACACTTATGAATAAGACCTTTAGCTTCTTACCCTCAGTACTGGCAGGTTTACCTTTACCTTTAATATAAATACTGATTTAGTTATAGATACATATTCAAAATAATAAAATCACCATGTTTATGGTTACCTCTATATTTCTTTAGCAAAAGCAAGAGAAATCCCAGTAGGGCTACAAGTGCGACAGCTGTAATGGCAAACAGCACCCACCCTGTAATCGAATCTGAAAAGTATAATAAGATTATGTCAGTGGGTCATGGATTTAAGAACTATACTTCTCCAAAAAATTAAAGGAACAGTTTGAAAGCACATGAGATTTCAGGTTGAAAAAAAATTTGTATTTATATAAATATAGACAGGGCAATGTCTTAGGAACAATAGGATACCACCTCTTTTAAGGGAAATAAAATTTTCAGCCAACAAAGGGCTTAGATTTATAGACACACTGAAAATGAAGTAACGTTGTGGCATTTTGCCAAAAATGTCATTTCTGCAACACATAACGCAGATGGAATGTCCTCCCAGATCTGTGTAAGGGCATCACTGAGCCTCTAATGTCCCAGAGGTGTAATATCGGGTTTAAGTCAGGTGATCGTGAAAGCCATTCAATTGTATCAATCTCTTCATCCTCCAGGTATGCCTGTATACTCTTGTCACATGAGGCCAGGCATTGCTGTGCCTCAGTAGGAACCCAGAATCCAGAAGAGGTTTGTACATCCCTCCATACACATGTCTCCCCAAACTGACCCACCACCAAACTGCTCATGCTGAATGATGTTGCTGGCACCACCCTCATGAAGTCTGTTTCTGATTGTTTGGGCTGAGACATTCACACCAGTATCCTGCTGGGGTTCATTGTGAAGTGCACAGGCAGTGCTGAACCTGTTCCTCTTTGCGCAAAAAGGCAGATATGGGTCCTGCTGATGAGTTGAGGACCTTCTACAGCCCTGTCCATCTTTCCAAGAGTAACTGCCTATGTCCTGAAATCTCCACGTTCTGGAGATTGTGCTGGGAGACACATTCATTAAATCTCCTTGCAACAGCACGTCTGGATGTACCTTCTTGGGGAAGTTGGACAATATGAGCAACTTCTGTAGGATAAAAAAAATGGCTTCATACACCCAGTAGTGATAATGACTCTAGCAAAAGCATCACTAGTGGAAAACCAGCCAAAAAAGACCAAGAAACTTGAAGAAACTTGAAATGATCTCCATATGCAAAACCAGTCTTGTTTTAGGGTCTCATTGTTGCCACTCTAGTGCACCTATTGTTCAGTTCCATTTAAAGAGTCCATCCTTTTTTTCCTAAGACATTACACTGTCCTACGACGAAGTATAAGGGTCAGATTAAAAAAAAAAAAAGATGCTGGCGCTAAGAGAATAAAGTCGTAACATTTCGACATTAAAGTCATAATATTATGAGAATAAAGTCGAAGCCAGAAAAAGTTGTAATTTTACGAGAATAAAGTTATAGGTTTACAGGAATAAAGTCGTAATTTTATGAGAATAAAGTCTAAATTAAAATAAAGTCGTAATATTATGAGAATAAAGTTATAATATTACGAGAATGAAGTCGTAATAAAATCAAAGTCAAAGTGAAAAATGCGGCAGAAGAAGAACCTTGTTTTTCAATATAAAACCAAAAATAAGAAAATGAACAACAATTTTCTTCATTATTTGGGCCTCCAGACTGAACCAGGACTGAACCAGGACTAAACGAAGTCCGAGACCAGACCGGGACTGAAACCAGGACTTAAACAAGGACTAAGTCAGGGACCAAGACTGAGACCGGGATCAGACAAGAACTGAGACCAGGATTGAGACCGGGAACAGGACCAGGACTGAAAGTAATATGACTTTATTCTCGTAAAATTACGACTTTTTCTGGCTAAGACTTTATTCTCATAATATTACGACTTTAATGTCGAAATGTTACGACTTTATTCTCGTAGCGCCAGCATTTTTTATTTTTTTTATCTGACCCTTATACTCCGTCGTACTGTCCATATTTGAATAGATATATTTGATAGATTTTTTTTTTTCCAGATGTGTTTTAAAAGTATATTGACTTTTCTACCTTCTTGGATCTGTGAAATCGGGAGTCACATGTATTCTTCCTTGCACTGCTTCTTCTCCAGGCAAGCCCACAGAACAGGACAGTGCAGAGGAGCTGTCCACAATTATCCAGCTGTGGACGGACAGGAGGCCAGATGAGGCTTTTCTGTAGACCAGATCTTTGGTTTTAAGTGCCCCTCTATCATTGGACCACTGCAGGTGAGGCTTAGGGTACCAGCCTTCAGACTCACAGCTCACATTGAGTTTGTTGTTCTCCTTCACCACTGCTGTCAGCAAAGGTGTCACTCCAATTTCTAAGATAACATTAAATAATTCATTTGGATCGACACTTGTATTTGAATAATATTTTTAAATGTGCACTGTGTAACTTTTGTGGTGGATGGTTTGCCACTGCCTTGTCTCCATGGAGATCATATTGCTTTTCCTTGAATGTTCCATAGTATCATTTTAAACTTAAATCTTGCAATTAATACAATTACAGGTGTTTTTATTGGTCAAGTTAAACAAAAAACACAAATTCAGGGTAACATAGGGTAACATCTTCCACAGATCTGACTTGTAACTTGACTTAGTGGCGTTATTTGCCTGTTACCATGGAAATCGATATGATAAAGTCATATTGTGGAACATACCAGGCAAAGCAATACCATGGAGACAAGTTGGAGGCAGACCCGCCACCACAAAAGTTACACAGTGCACCTTTAAATACTTACGGCTCACAAGGAGGTTGACACTTGCCCTGTCGTGATGCTTGTCGCTGCTAACATAACAAGTGTATTTTCCTGCATCTGCAAGTGCGACATTTACCAGTTTGAGGGTCACATCTCCTTCCTTCAAACCAGCTGAGGAGGCATGCTTTTGGCCAAATGAAACTCTGCCACTGTAAGATGGCTGAGATGCACTACTGATAACCTTGTCCTTGTAAAGCATAACAGGAGCATTAAATTGGTCAAGATGAAACCAGTTGACCTCCATGTCTTCAGCAGTTTGTTGTGGACTGAGCCAGCACGGTAAAACTGCAGTCTCCTTGGTGTAGACAGACACATTTGCGTTGACAGAGACTACAAAGTTTTCTGACACTGGCAAAACAAAAGAGGAGAAATTAGGTTACTTTGGTTAATTAGGTCATCCATTTTACTCACATTTTGAACAAAAGCATTTACTTTCACTTTCAAAGCATTTGGATTGGATCTGGATACCCAAATACAAGGGTAACAAAACCTTTATAAAGATGAGCATTATATTAAACTTTGCTATTTTTCCTAGGGTTGTGGAAGATAATAATTCTTTAGCTTTATCTTGTAATTTATAAAGGGCTATGGTACCACACCTACGTCTATTGAAGGTGACTTACCGGTAGCAGCGTGACTGAGCCACACACAAAGAAAAGCTTCCAGCCAAAAGACAAGATATTGTGAATCTATAAGAAAAACACATTTATTATGTAATATTATTTTATTTTACATTGCACAATGTTAAAATATAACTTTCAATCATCGCGCACAAAGACAAACTGCTATCAATAGACATGTAGCACTAATTTAGAAAACGGTCTGCCTACCCATTCTGAGTATGTAGCGCGGCTCTTCCAAGAGTTGTGAATATATCGGGATACAGGTTACAAGTACAAATACACACGTGTTCTTAAAATCTCTTCCTCTTCGTTAACGCGCTCAAATTCTAGCTAATATTTCTATTTCAAGCTTCAACGAGGCAGGCTGTCTGACGCAAGTTTCTATTTTCACTTTCATTTTCCTAAAATGGACACAAAGGTGGAGCCTGGTGGAGCCTCGATTTTACTTAGATGATGTTTTCGTTGGTATGTTGTTCTTGCTATTGTGGTTACAGTTGTGAAAGATGTGTTGTGTGAACTGGTTGCATAGACTGAATACGATTGATAGACGTGAAAGGTAACAACAACCTCCTGCAAATTTTCACACTCACGTGCTCTCTGTTACGAGTACCACTGACTTACGGAAGTAATCAAGTGCACTTCAAAATAAAACTTTTAGTGCAAGATTTTAAAACAACTGGGCCTGCAACAAATAAATAAGACTTTTTTAATATGTTTAAAAAGTACCGAAACCTTTATTGATGCTTAAATGATTATGTCTGTGCTGTAAACACTCACCCAGTGCAAGTCATAGATCCATGGTGTAAGTGCACTGAGGATTTTGATATAATGTTTTGAAAGGATAACCGGAAATGTTTGTAATCTGTAGCGAACATGACTGGGAAGTTGGAGAAAAGGGATCGTAGTCCACTTTGTAAATATTATTGTATTTGTTTTTAAAACATGTAGTTTTCTGAAGTCGCCGTTAATTTAGCAGAATCTCATAACAAACGTACTGCTTGCGGAATGGGTAGGCACCACATTTTATCTGCGTCAACCATTCTGACACTGAGCATTTGTTTTGAAATGTTTGCTCAGGACTAGTTCATTGCACCCCTTTTGTTGTTTGTCATTATCATTTTTTTGCGAAATTTGAGGCAGGATGTCTCAAATTATCGATGACGAAACCACTCCTTTGCTTAGAGATGATCATAGCAGGTGAGTCCAGTTCAGTGCAAAGGCAGTCTAGTTAAGTTGGATGTTTTGTGTTATAAAGTCTTGATTGATAGCATTTATATAGCGCCTTTCAAGATACTCAAAGCACTTTGCAGTTCATTATTCAGTCACTCCACACTCAGTGGTGGAAAGCTTCTATTGTAGCCACAGCTGCCCTGGGGCAGACTGCCAGAAGCAAGGCTGCCAATCTGCACCATCGGCCCCTCTGACCACCACCATCACTCACACTCACACCACTTTCATACTAGGCAATGTGGGTGAATTGTCTTGCCTAAGGACACAATGACAGTTTTTTGCCACTGGCACCCCACTGTGGCACCTGGAATATCTAGTGGTCTCCCATCCATGTACTACCCAGGCCCAGCCTGCTTAGCTTCTGAGATCTGACAGGATCAGGCTTTTACAAGCTGGTATACACATTTTATTAACTAATTAGCTATATGGCTACATAATATTAGTCGACTACCACCTCAATGTTCCTGCAATGTAAATACTCCGTAAATCCTGTTATAAACTACCTTTGTGTTGTATGCACTATGCAGTGACTGTCAAGATGCAGTGTGCAAGAGTCGATGGAGGTCAATTCGAGTCATGTACTTCACAATGTTTCTCAGCAGTGTCGGTGAGCCAATAACTTTCACATTATTGTATTTTGACATCGTTACAATTATAAATAAAACAGTTGTGCTTGATACATACAAGTGGTGGAAGTAGAAGTGCAGATACCAAAGCAAAAATAAAATAAATAAATAAAATACTAAAGTGAAAGTATCACATGAAAAATCTAAGTACAAATATTGAAGTATATGTTTAAAATCTACCAAAATAGTAAAAAGCACATTTTGACACCTAATAAAGCTTCAAGTGTGATTAATTTGATCAGATTTGTGCTAAATTGTTGTTCAGTAGAAACAACTGAATATATATATTTTTTTTCCAGCAGTTTTTATTTGTATACTTTTGTTCGCTGAAATTATGAACGTGTTAAAAATAAACCCCTCTGTCTTTCTGCAGATCTCAAACAATAATAAAAAATACTTTTACTTTTCAGCCCAGTTCAAAATGTAGTGGAGTAGAAAGTACAGATACCTGCTCTCAAATGTAGTGAACTAAAAGTTAAAAGTATACACTTAAAAGTACATATACCTAAAAATCTTACTTAAGTACAGTGCTTTACTACTTTTACTTCATTATGTTCCACCACTGTATCTGATGTATATAGATAGTGCCTTCTCTAGTGGCTAGTTTGTTCTTAATGGGCTGTCTTTTTTTAAGGTTTCACCATTGTCATAACATCACTGTGGCCCTATTTACAAAAAGTAAGTAAAAACATTTTCATTACTTTCTGGATTCGAAGCTGTTGAGCATTGTATTAAGACTATTCAGACAAAATTGGGAGATTTTTTTCCCACTATTGTACAGAAAGATCAAGTTTTTTTATTAATTCTTTCATTTTTTAATCTACAACTATATAGTGTATTTGGTGTGAATATTGTTCTTTAGTGATTAATCACTCAAGTCCACTCATAGCCAGAACAGACTTATCAGTAAAAGTCCTATATTACACTAAATTGACTTTTATGAGCTTTAAGCCATGCTATAATATTGTTACTTCATCAAAAACATACCTGGAGTGTGTTTTGTTTCAATTACACATGTTTGACTAATCATTTATTATTAGCCTGTCTACATCTCCAAAGATGTTTTCATGTTTTTAGCTCTCTTTTATCTTTTGTTCAGCAGAGATTGGTCAAGGAATTGTCACATTATTCTAGTGAAAGTAGGGTTTAAAAAAGTGGAGCTTTTCTTGTATTGCCACATGGCATCACAAGGTGAAACAGAGGGTTTTTAGTTTGACAGAAGAACTCAGCGTAAATATGCAGGATTTGTGTGTTAATGAAACAAAACACAACTCCAGGTATGTTTTTGATGAGGAAACAATATTATAACATAGATCAGAAAATAGTGTAATATAGGCCCTTTGATAAAATATTTTTTAATCTGTCTTTAGTATGAATAGTATTGGGTTTCACTATGTGCATATTTATTTTTCTTTTCATAGATTGATCCAAGCGCTGATGCTAGTTTCCTTGGCTGGGTTGTAGCTGTCTATAGCCTTGGTCAAATGATAGCCTCACCTCTTTTTGGTCTGTGGTCAAACCATCGTCCACACCGGGAGCCACTGATCTGCTCCATTTCCATCAATCTTTTAGCTAACATCTATTATGCTTACGTTAATTTACCAAAGACAGCGAATAAGTACCACATGCTGATATCAAGAGCCTTTGTAGGTTTTGGAGCAGGTACTGGAAGGATTAAAAAAAAATAATATTTAGATGAATGTTTAACTTTTTACCAAACAAATTCATGGTGTTGCAGGTAATGTTGCTGTGGCAAGGTCATATGTTTCTGGAGCTACGTCTCTGGAGGAAAGAACTGGTGCAATGGCCAATATGAGCGCCTGCCAAGCTTTGGGTTTCATCCTGGGTCCAGGTATGGATACACTAGTCCTTTTAAGTATTTTAAGTACAGAGGAAAAACCAACAGTAGTATTTCTGTAGCTCTTCAGGCCTGTCTGTCCTTTATTGGTGAGTGTGGCATTACGCTCAAGTTCATTGAACTTCATCTTAATATGTACACGGCCCCTGCTATTCTGGCTGCAGCTTTGGGTCTCATCAATATTTTGCTGGTTTTGTTTATACTGAAGTAAGTGAAAATTACTTGCTTGTTCACATTTTAATCTATGAAATAGCTCTACCTTAATTAGCAAATTTCAAATAATATTTTGCAAACAGAGAGCATCATGTTGATGATGATGGAAGATATATTCAGCCAAGCATCAACTATACAGATGGTATTTGAATAACTAATGTTTTGGCATATTCTAGTTAGCAGGTGTAATAATTAACTTGATTAACATAATCTTGTCATTTCTTTAGATAATGTTGAAGATAGTGTCGAAACAGAAGAAAGTGTTGACCAGGTGGCAGTGTTGACTTCAAATGTTCTCTTTTTTATAGTTATGTTTATCTTTGCTATATTTGAAACGTAAGTTTACAGATTTTAATTGTCAATGGCATTTTTTTATTTAAAATTTTTCACTTTTTTTTTCTTTGTTTTTTTTGCAGTATTGCAACCCCTTTGTCTATGGACATGTTTGCATGGACAAGAAAAGAAGCTGTGTTATACAATGGGATCATACTTTGCTGTATTGGATTTGAATCCATCCTGGTATTTCTTGTTGTGAAACTGGTTTCTCAGAGGTATTTATAACCTGTATTTAATGATAAATTAATGCTTGCTGCATCTTAAGTTCTCTGTGATTTCAGGTTTGGTGATCGCCCAGTATTGTTAGCAGGCTTGGCTTTTATATTTTGTGGCTTTTTTTGCCTTCTTCCCTGGGGAAATCATTACCCTAAAATACAGTGGGCAGGTATGTACTACACTGGGACCATACAGAACACATGTGTTTATAGGCCAATGTTGCATGTCTGCTCTAGGTTTGTAATTACCGTTTGTGTGTGTATTTTAACTTTGCAGATATTAAAAACAATACACAGGTCAGTCAAATGGTGTCTTTGGCTAACAGCACAGTGGAGCCAACTGGATGCCCGTTTGTGCAGACCTGGTGCCAGTACACCCCAGCCATAAACATTGCTCAGTACATTTTTTCTGATTTCCTTATTGGTGTGGGTTACCCAGCATGTAATGTCATGTCTTACACACTCTACTCCAAACTTTTGGGACCAAGACCACAGGTAAAATGAAGTAATGTTTAATGGTTATTAATTAATGTATAATAACAAATCATGATGTTGTTGAATGAATTGTACAGGGTGTGTACATGGGCTGGCTGACAGCTGCAGGCAGTGGAGCACGAACACTTGGTCCAGTCTTTGTGTCAAACATCTACACTCACCTTGGACCCCGATGGGCTTTCAGTCTGATCTGTGGCATGGTTATCGGTGCCATTGTCCTCCTCATCTCAGTCTACAAAAGACTTATTGCTTTCTCTGTTCGTCTTGGAAGGACTGGCTGACAAATCAAAGAGTACTTTACTATTTAAAGTTTTAAATTACAAGTACAAGGAATTTTTTATGTTCAAATGATTTACTTTTATCGGTTCCACTGAACTGTGATTAATCAGTGATAGACCTGCTTTTACAATAAAATTTAACAACTGGTGATACATTAATTTAGCAAATCTTTAGGCAACACATAACTTTTCGGTGCTCTGATAGACTAAGGTTGCAAATATACTTAGTTTGCAAGGAACAGTAGATGACGCTATTAAAACACAACAATATACAGTGTTTAGTAGCGAGAAAAAAAGTGGAATTAGTGTTTATTTCCACTTTATCTTTTCTAATGTTTAGCTTGACTTTATGTAAACATGTTCTCCACTCAGTCATATTTGTCTTGTTTGGTGTCCAGATGATTTTCTCTGGTTGACTGGTCTTAAAAGGACTCTATAAGAGACGGTAAATTTCCCTGCTGTATGTGAAGACCTGAAAACTACTACTAAAGCCAAAATCTTTTCATGGCACTCTGTAGAAAGGCATGAGACTTCAGCCTAGATTTTCAAAGTTATTAATCACAAAACAAGTGAATGTACTGCTTCTTGATTGATTTACAGTGAATGTCTATTATTGTTACATTTTACCAGATTTACCAATTTACTTGAACGCATTGTATTTATAATTTGCGGTTTAAAACAGCCTGGATTCCCAAATAGTGGGCTACATGAGGGAACAGGGTAACACGTACTTAGTGAATCAAAATGTCTGGCAGCGGTGGGATTCGAACCCACGCCCCCGAAGAGACTGGAGCCTTAATCCAGCGCCTTAGACCGCTCGGCCACGCTACCGTGCGTTATGAAGTGCAGACACTAAACTTCAATTCTCATTTTCAGGACATGTCAGATTGATGTAGTGTGGATTTTTTTTTGACAAGATATTACGCACACAAGCATATTTACTTGATAAAAGTTATTATGAGTGAAGATAATTAGAGTTGGACTATTATTTTATTTTTTTCCGGAATGGGCTTTGGAGTAGCTCTCATTATCTGAACAGTCTAGTTTAGTTAGTAGCGTAGATAATGGAACCAGCTATTCTACATGATTCATTTAATACAATAGTACAGACTACGTGCTTCAGAGAGATCAGTAGAATACTTTGTTCTTGATGTTGTAATGTTTTTTCTCTCCTTTAGGGGACACCCACGCTCCTCAGTGCACATGTGGAGAAGGCTGGTTTGAAACTTTGTTGAAGAAATGCATTTGAAACAGCTCAGTAACACGTTTAGTCAGGGAGCGGGTGTACTAACATTACACTTGTGTTAAAGATAAAACCAAGCAAGTGAGCTGACTCAAAGTCCAACTTTTGTTAGTATTAGATTCAATTGCCTACTGGCTCATGGTCCATCTGAAAATAGGTAAATAAACAAAAACAAAAAAACAATTGTGCTCTAAAACGACAGTGTAATGCACTATGGAATGATGTAAGAGGCAAAATTATAATTTACTTATTTGAGTGTATTAAGCCTATAGAATAGGTCTTTATAATACAGTTTTAGAGTTTGTAACAGCACAGCTTGCAGACCTACAAAGCTGTAGTTACAAATATTTCAGCTGAATGACTTGTCCATCTCAGCCTTGTCAGCACCTGCCAAACTTCATTGTGGTGCACCTGCCGCAGCCCTTGCAGATTGGCGTTTGATAGTCCAAAGGTGAGCAGTGTACGAGGCACATGTTACAACAGCTATGTTTAAAACATTATCTCCAAACTTGCTTAATAAGAGTATTTGGCAGAGCATATCATTCCAAAAATTGAACGAAACATGTTAAAGCCAAGAAGCCAAGCAAGATTACAGCTGTTTCTTTTCCCACTTTATACACATATTATTGAAAAAAAAAAATCCTAAAAGTTTTTTCTTTCTTTTTAATGTTTTTGAAGCTTTGCAGAATATAAAAATCATACCGCTACACCTTCACAAACATGCTGCAGTTATAGGCCCTCTACTGCTGCATTATGTGGCTGCCTAAAATAAAGAATGAATGGGAAAGCACTGTGTCAGGAAGGACATTTATTTATTTCACAGTTTTATCATTTCACTTTTCCTATTATATTCTTTTTGCAGCATCTTTGACTGTTCAGAAAAGTGCTATATAAATAAAAATGTATTACTATTAAAATGCATTTAGGCAGTGAGTCAATCAGTTACTTAAAACAGTCCTTAAAACATCACAATGCTCTTGGGTAGATAAGGTGAGTGCCCTGTATGTAGCTCAAAGGTCAGTACTGATTTGTCCTATTGTACTGTTGTCTGGTAATTACTGTTGCTAAATGGAAGGGAAAATGTTCAGCTGGTACAAATGAGGTAAATGTTTGCTTTGGATATACCTTCAGCCCCAACAAGCACTTTCATCATTAATAAACTAATTAAAAAGTCTACTAATATTAAAACAAATAATAATAATGTACATTTTTATACATTACAAAGTGTACCTCTGCTAAGACACTGAGCACATTTCAAGCAATGGCAATTGAAAAATAAATGTGCATTAACTAAAACAACTTTGAGGGTCTCTTTCTTGTGAACTGTTAATAAGTTAGAAGGTAAAACTAATCATTCTTTTTAATAGCAAGAAAATTTAGGATATTTTTTGTACACATCTTGGTTTAAAACACAGCTGATGCAAAGAAAGATACCTAAAATATTAACTTCAATTACTATACTTCTGTCTAACAAATTATATAAGTAAACTAAACGTTATACAGTTTTATATCATGTGTTTTGTTTGCACTTAAAGGGGCATTACATAACTTACTGGGTGGGGGTCGCGCACCTGCTTGTTTCTATGGATATGTCATAGCTCTGCCACTTTATGGCATTAAACAGCTCTACCTTAAAGCTCAGAAATACCCAGGAAAACAGGTACTTTGGGCAGGCTTGCCTCTCTATAGATCTGACCTGGGTACGTTCGGTCTGCTTGAAGATAGAAAGGTTTAAGAACATACTGTAAATTTCAGACGGACCCTCCACCAGAAAAGTTACACAATGCACATTTAACGTTCTTAGATTTTTGGTGCACCCATTTTAAGAGTAGGTGCAAAAGATAGCAGAGGATGGTTTCGATCCATCGACCTCTGGGTTATGGGCCCAGCACGCTTCCGCTGCGCCACTCTGCTGATGTCCTGTAGAGGGGGCAGGGGAGCCACAAATTCTCCGTATTTGCGACACTGTTGATAAAGGCGTGCTCTTACATAATATAGACTATTGTTCTCTTGTTTTCACAGAGCGGAGGGGGAGAGGCTCACAGGAGGGGGCGAGGGAGTGAAAAGAAGAGAAGATGGACTGAACTTGACCAAAGGCTTGTACTGAATGCTAAAAAGTCAGGAACCTAAAATGATACTTTGCAATGCCGGGGGGTTCTACGTGTATCTGTATACTGGCATGCTCAGAAGTTACCATGGTGACACACTGCACACATTACCAATCACTGTTAAAGTAAAGTCAATTGTTAAGTCTGAAATGTCAAGAAAAAGCACACATTCATTTAAAGGTGCACTATGTAACTTTTTGGTTGGAAGTCATTGTCAGTTGCTTGCTGTTTCTATGGAAATGTCTCTGCTCTGCCTGGAATGTTCCATAGTATGACATTAAACAGCTGTACCTTACATTATTCAATTACAGGTGATTTTATGACTAAAAAATACATAGACAAACAAGCGAGATTGACTCTCCACAGATCTGACTTGTAACTTGGTCTGGTTTGGTTTTGAAGATGATGGGAAGGTTTAATTAGTCCAGGTGGCGCCACCTAGTGCCTCCGCTCAATTTCATTTCTCTCCAGCGACTAGGTCAGGAATCGGAATACACTAGACGGTTCACAAAAACCCGGAAGTGTAAGTTCGGGCACTAGCCAATCAGCAAAGAGCCATACATTTAGTGTTGTCAATGATTCCCGAGATCAAGGATTTAAAGCCAGAATTAAGAGAATGTTTGGTGAATTTCATCAAGGGGAAAGATGTTATTGCCTTTCTTCCTATGGGATTTGGGAAAAGCTTCATATACCAGTTAGCCCCGTTAGCTGCGCATTACATACGTCATGACGAAATAGCAGCAATTGGTTAAATAAAAAAAGTATCCACCTACCATCGCACGAACAATTTCTAACACTGCGAGGTCAGATGGTTTCTACGACGGCTAAAGGTTTAATGCCATACTGTGAAACATTCCAGACAAAGCCACCACATCTTCAAGGAGAAAAGCATTTGACGGTCCCTCCACCAGAAAAGTTACACAGTGCACTTTTAAACTACACAGTTTTGTTGTCCCGGGCCCCCGAGTCTTAGGGGCCTAGAATTGGAATCTCTGCTCATTAATCAATAGGCTATTAGAGGGGAGCCCCTGTGAGTTTTCTTGCCCCGGGCTCCCAAATTTCTGTTGATGGGACTGTTTGAAGTGACATGTTCAGCAGTTACCATGATGACACAAAGATTACATTAGTAAACACTGTCTTAGACTTAGACAAACTTTATTGGTCTACAAGGGAAATTATTTGGACACAGTAGCTCACACATCACAATATAGTATAAAAACAAAGACAAAATATATAAATGGTAATAATAAATTCTAAATAAGTAGCAAAAGCAAGAGACATGTGTCAAAAGACATAATTATATAAATGTATATATACAAGTCAAAATTAAATAGAAAAGTAGGTAATAAAATATAAAATCACAGCAATATACAAGAGGTTATAGGAAGAGTTTTAAGTCTGAAAAGTCACCAGAAATATAAAATGTATTTAAACAATACATTTTGTGCTTGTTTTTCAACAAAAAAGGTGAGAGTGAAAAACTGTTGGCTAATGCTAGTTTGTGACTAATTGAGGCGTGAGAGACTTTTTAAGTGCACAAATCAGCTGTTGTAGTTCCAACCAAGTCAGCTCTTTCTGGTCAAATTGTGTTAAATGATCACATTAAGGTTGCTTAAAGTTGATTAAGGTTAGTTTCATTTAGCTTTACACCCCCAGGGAATGTTGATGAATGCAAAGTATCAATACATTTATAGTAAAGTACGCACTAGGCGCAGAATATTAAGTTATGCTTCAAACCAGTTTCTAAAGACTTTAAAGTATGTAAAATCAAAGTGCAATTGTACTATTTTAACTTCATCCTGGGGAAATCATGTGTAGGACCTACTGTTGTTCATTGAGTCAGAAACAATGCCATGAAAGAGGTGGACTGGTTTAAACTGGCTCACACATGCTCTTTTCCATTTTTTTCCCCCTTCATGCGCACACCGCCTTGAAAAACAAACTACAAGAGGGATCAGACAGGATTTCAACTGCATAGCTCTGTTGGTTTTCCTGCAGGCATTTGTCAGCACATGCTGTCCCTACAGTATATGTGACATTTATTCAAGAGAAAGTACATTGTTGGAGATAAGAAGTCAAAGGTAACAAAGTACTTACAACTTAAACCTGTGTAATCTTGAGTACGTTTAGGAAAAGACTGTCCTCTAAGCAAGTATTTCAAAAATTTCTAACAGTACATCATCAAGTGTACATGTTGACGGCTGGCTACATGTGGCTACATGTTTTGGCAAGAGGAAAAGCAAATTCAATGCTCCTATCATATAGGAGTGATAGTAGTAGTCTACAGTAGCAGTACTTTCTGGTACTTAACATATTTGTGGCATTTTGAAATTAACCTTAAAGCTGCTTTGTGTAACTTTTTTGGTGGAGGATCCATCAAAGGCTTTTCTCCATAGAGATATTATTGCTTTGTCTAGAATGTTTCACAGTATTAAACTTTTCTATCTTCATGGAGATCAAATCAGATCAGGATACAGGTCAGATCTGTGGAAAAGCAACCCCACTCACAGTCAGAATGTCTGTTTTTCTAGGTGTTTTGAGCTATAAAACCACATGTAATTTAATAAATGTACAGTAGATCTGATTGATGTCATACTGTGACACATTCCAGAGCAGTTACATTTCCACAAAAACAAGCAAGTGATGGATCCCCAACTAAAAAGTTACATTGTGCACCTTTTTAAAAGGTTGTACTGAAGTACTTTTTACCTGGCTGTAACCAAGTTTAAATCTGATGTGGTTGTAGTTCTTTTTTTCAGGAGCACACATGCCCCTAAGTAAAACAATTTAGGAGCACAGAAAAAAAAATGGGGGCACAAGTAGTTTTTCATTTTGAATATTTATTACAGTATAGAACTTTCACACACCAACACCAACTTACTTGAATTTTAAAAAACTAAAGAATTATGACTGTACTTTTCCCGCATGACCGCTGATAGTTGGGTTAGACCCTTGAGTTATGGATCTGCCCAATTTTTCTTCCTACAGATTAACTAACAATTGTAATTGTAATTAAGTCAACGTGACCTCTTTCCCGCTGACTGCCACTAGGACTTTAGAACCGTGCCATGCTCAAGCACGAATGCATAGGGTTCTAAGACCCACACGCACACCTGCACAACTGAACTAGGCCAAGGCAGATGATGTCATAAGTCCAGTGGCATGAAATATCTTTAAAATAGTGAGGCAGATATGAGTCCTGCTGTGATACGTGCTCCTCCTTGAGTTTATGAATATAATAAAAGGATGGAGGAGGAGAAGTGAGGACAGCCGGAGATGAGGCTGCAAAACCTTTATCACCGTCCACAGTCCTTATTGAAGGTAAGCACGTATTGGACCAGTTTATTCACTGTTTTCGTCAGATGAGTAACATCAGTGCACACGCAGAGCTTGTATACTAAAGTCGTGCGTGAGTGCATACATGAGCAATCGTGCCATGCTTTGCCCACCTCCTCCAACCAGGCCAAAGTCCCAACCGTGCTGTTCCTGGCCGCAGCTCGATTACGCTTTCTGGGCTATTCATGCTTGGGCACAGTTCTAAAGTCCTAGTGTGAGTGCACCCTTATTAGAATGTTTAACTCATCAAGTTACATCTATGCACACTGCTCTCCTCATTGTGGGCTGCAAGAAGCACTCACACATTTGCACCTGTTTTGTTTTCCTCATTCGCATGCTGAAATATTTGCTTGCAAATGCGAGTGAAATGGGTACACTCTAGAGCCCTGGTTTTAGTCCTGGTTTATTTTTGATCAAGTCCACATTAAGTTGCAGGTTTAGTCTCAGTTTAGAAGAAAAAGGTGCTCATCAGGATTACCATGGAAAAACTTCACTTACAGACATTAAAAAGAAAAATTCAGAGGCGCTCAAACTGTAAAAGTCCTTTAATAGTCAAATTTTATATTGAAGGACATTTAATGCAGTTGGAGTACCTTTTTAATAGTAATTTTTTGTATTTGTAGTATTTCCTCTGGCCAGTTGTGCAATGGCAGCTCTCTGACTTATGCTTTCTAGAGAATACAAGTATAGACATGTGTAGTACATTTCTAATTATAACTCTGCAAGTGTGGCTTCAAACTCCAACCATAACACTCGACTACAGTTTTGTTTCCAGTAAAACCAGTGGACATGTTCCAGTTTAAATTCTGCCACTTCACAAACAACATGTTTACGTACCCCCTTCCCCCTCCGTTTATTACAGTCTGCCCTTTACTCCATTTCTTCTGGTGCCTCCCCCTCCAAAAGAGGCCACACCCACTCTTCTGTTTCTTGCTGAACTTGTTTTTCCCATCATCTCCCTTGATACTCTACCTCCTCCTTAGCAAGTGTTATTTTGATCAGGCAAAGTAGATGATTGGATAGTTGTTTTCAAATATCTTGCAGGCTATGATTAGGAAATAGTGGGGGAAATGGAAAAACACACTGACTACATGAACACCATATGTATTTATGTATTTGTTATTATGTCAACACGTCTGAGATTTTGTTTACTGCTCAAACTTTAAGAAGGATTTTTGTCTGACTGAGCAAGCCATTAAAAACAAGGACAACATTTGGAAAAGTTAAGTAATTACAAACACAAATAATTAACCACCACTTGAGCAAAACAATCATTTAATCAATACAATATCTCCACCAAGTAAATATGTTGTATTGGAGATACCTGTGTAAGTCTGTGATGACTTTACTGTATTGTGTTTGCGCATTTGATTTGATTGGTTCAACAAAAGCATTATGTTATGTAGATTAATTGCCAGTATAGTCAGGCACGTGATGTGACTCAGGGGCTCTGCAACCTTTTCATAGCCTATAAATAAATTGCAGTTAAGGTCAATATGACCGAAGAAGTGTGCTTACACTGTAGAAGGTGTTAATTTTAGAAAATGTACAAAGCCACTACTACCACAGTTTTTGTCTTATTCAGGATAGCAGCACTAACATAAAGGCCACTTGATTAGTTTACTTACAGTTGATTTTGATGATTGAAAAGTCACTGCAAAGTCATTTAATTTTGATTAGCAAATGATTAAAAGAAATGTGTTCAAAATCCTTTTGTAAAAATCTGACCTACATACCATTACATGTTTACAGAGGGCAAATTCATGTTCTAACATCTCCTTCTGTTGGCCTCCATGGGAAAATAGGCTAATATCCTGTATTGCTCAGTGCTACTGTCTTCGGTGCAAACAGAGCACAACAAGCATTTAGATGTAAAGCATTGCATTGCAGTGTTATTGATTTAAATATTTCTTTCACAAACTTGGATTTCTTTGTGCTATAACCCCTGCCATATGCTTTACAGTCTTCAAACTATCATCCCATCCACAATATCTGTAAAATTGTCTGATAAATATTGTAACTATAGACCTATATGCATACCTTTCTAGGCCTATATCTGGGAAAATTTTTATTTTATTTCAAAGAATAAATAAATAAATAAGTAAAAGCAGAACCTCCAACAATAGGAATGGTTCAACATAGTCCATGATATCTAAAACTCTTTCTCACTCTCGGGATCCAAAGGGACAAATTCTACAAAACATGGTCAAAATTAACTGAGAGATAAATCCATAAGCTCTGATTTTATTTAACATTTTATTTAGTTATTAAATGTGGCTTCATATTTTAAATGACTGAAATGGTATTCTTCGCACTTATGTTCTTGTTTTATTGTAACTGAAAAATTACAACAAAAATGCCAATATTAGACAACAAAAACAGGAACAGTGTTGTTGTACTGTTTAGCATACGCTTTACAAATATAGTGTGAAAACTGTACCTCAGAGTTTACAGCGTCCAACCCATAACATGTATTTATACATACATATATAGGCTATTCTTAGCTTCTTTATACAGTCCATGGTCCTGTATGGCTTGTTTAGGCCTATGTAGTGATTACAGTCCAAGATGGTACACTTTAGGACCTTTATATTTTTTAGTGTAGTTTTTGATTATGAAAAGGCCATAGGGTGTAGTAAAAGTTATGTAAAAGTTGAAGGGAGCATGCACGTCATGAGTGAGTGTAAAAACATTGATCACACCGTATACAGCCACATGCCTTATCTCAAATGTCCAGAGGAGAGTAACGTGAGAAGACAGAAACAGACGTGCACGCTGATTGGTCAGAGCGGGATGATGTGGGCGGGGACATTCCGGCCAGTACAAATACAACACGCGTTCGGCTAATGCGCTTAGAAAACAAGCATCTAACCACGAAAAGAGACAAAGAAAATACACGAACTATCTATTCTCTGCGCGGTACAGGTATAATTCTTTATTTTCATAATCTTTCTGTATCTTCTCAATATATATTTTGAGTTTAGAGCTGTTTTAGGATTAAATTGTCGCACGCGGATTTCCCTCGTGAAAGCATGACGTGGAGCAAGATTTCATCAGCTAAAAAAAGCGGTCAACAGGTTTTTAAGTATTTCCCTTAATAAAACTAAATACCGAAACACTTTTTTTCTTAGCATTTCGCATCAACATTCATATTTCTTACCATTGTTTAAAACTAAATATTCAGTTAAATCAAATCTAAATTTATTTCCGGTTTGATACATTTATGTATTGCATCATGTTTCTTAGTTCTGTATCTAAAACTATGACAAACAATGCACAAAGTGAACAAACAAAATTACTCGTATGGTAGTTATTTTCTTGTTTTATTTTTGTTCGAGGTTTTTTAAAAATCTACTTTCCATGATCAACCCAGTTTCTAGTAGTAATAACTTGTAGTATATGGACCAACCGGTCCATTTACTCAACCTCTTTAAGTAAATTTAATGTAATGCAAATTTGGATGATCTTTTAATATCGGCTGGTCAAACGTGTTTTTAAAAGTTTTTCTTAAAGACTGACAGACTTTAGCCTGACATGCATAACCCATTCATACAAAATTTAATGGTGGCCGGCCACGCCACGTGACCTACTTTCAGATGTCACAATGGTTTAATTTGTTCACATTCGCGTCCATTATAAAGTTCATTATACAGTTGTACAAAAGATTGAGTTTTTACTATTGTTTAAATTTTAAAGTGCATTGTGTAACTTTTCTGGAGGGTTAGTCACTTGCTTGTTTCTATCAGATATGCCATTGCTCTGCTTAGAATGTTTAAAATGTTAGAGTTGGTTTGGAGGATCCATTTGAAGGATCCTCCACCAGGAAAGTTACACACTTAACCTTTTAAGCACCAATTATCTCTTAACTTAACATAGTTTAGGCAGATTTCTCTTTATTCTTTTAACTTTACCTGTTCTTGTGTAACCTGTGTACTTATCTGTGCAGAAGAATAGCTGTACACCATGACCAAGGACACGGAGACTGACATGAAGGAGGTGGAGTTGAATGAGATGGACCCAGAGAAGCAACCCATGACGGGGGATGGTCAGACTGGAGAGAAGAACGGAACCGTCAAACTCAAAGTCCCAGAAGATGAGGTCACCTTCACTGGGCTGTCCAAGGAGGAGCTCATGAAGGTTGCTGGGACTCCTGGGTAAGATGAATAAAAAATAAGGGTCGGTCTTGCTTTATCCAAACAACTGTGGCAAGAAATGTATCACAATGACATTTTTGGTAACACCACATGAGCAAAAAGTTACCAGCGAGGGTTGTCAAAAGTATTGAAAATCTGATACTAATCCATAGTAGAACTTGAACTTGAAAAAAGTCACATTCACAGGACAGAAATGAACCTTTCCTGAATAGCTTTAAAATTATCTTGAGCTGTGTCTGAATAACTATAAGGCCACACTCTATTTTACGCCCGTGGACCACTGTGTAACCTACCTGGACAACTGAGGAATTACACAGATATAAGGCCACATGGGAATATAAAAGTGCGTACTATAATTTAATGTTGAAAATTGACATTCAACCGTCTCAAGAAAGATTGTGGAATCGATGTTGAGTAACAAGCCTATTCCTTAGTATCAAAATAGTTTGAAAACATTATTTGCAAAGCTAATCGCTTCAGTTCGATTGTGGCTTATGCTTCTGGTCACAGACTCTTAGGAGTCAATTTCAGTTATTTAGTTATTTCTGTCATTAATGTATTTTGTGTCTGTGTGTAGATGGGTGCGTACTCGCTGGGTGCTGCTGATCCTGTTCTGGCTCGGCTGGGTGGGCATGTTGGCTGGAGCTATTGTGATCATTGTGAAAGCTCCTCCCTGCAAACCCATCCCCGAAATGAACTGGTGGAACGAGGGGTCCCTGTACCAAATCTCTGACCTAGAAGCCTTTTCTGACGGACTGGAAGGTAATGGCCACGCAATAGTTCTTAAACTTAGGCAACATTTATTCATCCAGAAGGGATCTTGTTTGGACACAATGGCTCACGCATCACAATATATTATAATAACAAAGAGCAAAAATATAAATGGTAATAACAAATTCAAAATAAGTAGCAAGTGTCAAATGGTGTCATGAACCTCAAAATAGAACCACATTCTTCTCTTGAGTCTTGACAAAACAAGACCTCATATCTCTCATATACATTAGTGGTTAGGGATTGTATGAGTCGGCACTGGTTCAACTGTATAACCCTAGTTCAGTATTTGAGTACTTGTGTCATTAAGTCAATAAAAATGACTTTTAAATTTACTAAATTAAAAATCAAAGAATTTCCCATGTGGATCAATAAAGTTTGTGATTTTTTAGACACAGTAACTCACACGTCAACAAATATAATGACAAAGAACAAAAATATAAATGGTAATAATAATTCAATTGTATCAAATTGTACAAATTTGGGATAAATATTTGGCTTAGAAAGTAGCATTTTAAACCATGACCCAAGCAAGAGGAATATGACTTAAACTAAGTATTTGAGTTCTAACTTTAGCTGCTATCAGCCAGTAACCTTGTTAAATTTCAACGTGAAAAGGCAGAATTAAACCAGGATTAGCTAAGCCTAAACATAAGTTTTCAGCCACAAAAGCCTCCCTAAAAAGTGTTTCATAAAGAAGTTATGATTTCACTGTTAGCTCTCAGATACCAAAGTACTGATAAGACTTGACCTCAAGAAGGCTCAAAGTCTGAAGGACACAAAAAATACTGAGTCAATCTTTTTTTCATATCAGTCAACAGATTGGCTGTCTGTGGCTTACCCTTGCAAAACGTATTTATTACAAATAAAGCACTGATTCATCAAGCCTACTTAATGTGTGTAACAGCATTGACACAGCTGCTGTCCTTAACAGTGTTACTAAGAAGCTCTCAGGTTTCTTGCAGGCTTTTGGATGGTTTCCAGGGAGAACATGTGACTTGGTCGTGTTTTTCTTTTGAGAGGTCTCCTTTTACCAGCGCTCACATGGACCACTGTGTGTAGGAAAATAGTCACACGATGCTGCCCCAGGCCATAACATATAATATAAAAATCATACTCAATACTGTAATCACTCGTGGAATGTAGAAAAGTAAAAGTAGTAAGTAACCTACAGATGCCCAAATTTTTTACTGAAATACATTTAAAGTAAATACTATTTACTTTTACTTCACTGTATTTGAGAGAAGTATTTGCATTTTCTTCTCCATAATGTTTTTGAACACAACTGAGAAGTAAAAGTATTTATTTATTATAGTTTATAGGGTTTTATGATTTTAATGTATTTCTTATTCTGTAAAGCACTTTGAATTACTTTGTGTACGAATTGTGCTATACAAATAAACTTGACTTGCCTTGCCTAGGGTTTATTTTTAACACCTTTAGTAGTTTGAGCAAACCGAAAAAAACAATTGATTCCATTGTTTCTGTTTAACAAAATTCAGTCCTAATCTTTGTCAAAATCACTACATTTGAAGCTTTATTAGATCTCAAAATGTGCGGAAAATATGAATAAGTATATTAATCTGTACTTTTACTTAAGTAACAAAATGCTAATTTAAAACAAAATACCTACTGAATGAGAAAAAATCCTCAAAATGTTGCATATATCAGAAAGCTGAAACTAATTAATAATGACTACTACATGATGCTATGTTTGTTTAATAATAAATAAATAAAACATTATAAAATCCATGGGGACCAGCCTAGATTAGAAACCAAAAGAGACTAACTCAGACATGACTTGGGCAATACTGTGTGAAAATCATGTGCTGTACAGTTAAGTTTTTTGAGTTTAATCTGACACAATTTCCTTCCTGTTTCTATGATCATTATTTGACCACTTCTCCTTTTAACACATGCTCTTTGTGTAGTGAGAAATTCCTTTACTGACTGTTTTGGTTTGTTCTTCTTTTGACCTGTAGGCGTGGAGACCAAGTTGGACAACATGAACCAGTTAAAGGTCAAAGGTCTCATCATAGGCCCTCTTCACAGTGTCCAAGCCAACCGGCCCCTCACCCTCAATCTTAAAGTTGTCGACCCCAACAAGGGCTCAGAGGATGCCCTGCGGTCCCTGGTGGAGAAGGCCCATAAGAAGGGTAGGTATCTAGTTATTTTATTTATTTAGTTCAATTCAAGCTTATTTATATAGCACATTTTAAAGGTGCATTGTAACTTCTTATTTCTAAGGATATGTCATTGCTCTGCTTCGATTAAAAATAATATGATATTAAGCAGGTGTATCTTTCACTTATTCAATTACAGGTGGATTTATAGCTCAGACATAGAAAAACAGATATTCTGACCGAGCGGATTTGCCTCTCCATAGATATGACCTTTTTAATTTGGTCTGGTTTGGTGTTCATGAAGATAGAAAGGTCTAAAACCATACTGTAAAACATTCCAGGCAGGGCAATAGCATCTCCATGGAGAAATGCATTTGACAGACCCTCCACCGGGAAGGTTACACAATGCTATGCTTCACATAAAAGTCAACATGAACAGAAAACGGATATACAGATAACACAATGCATGGGAAAACTACAATGGTACATCAAAGTAGTCCTGTCTAGCTAGTCTTAAATGCCAAGGAGAAGAGATAAAAATGAGAATTCAATGAGAATATTTTGGGGTATTGATGGAAATTTGCTTCTAATTTGACACTGCCATCTTGTTTTTAGGTATTTCTGTGATTCTTGACCTGACTCCAAACTACGAGGGATGGCCCTCTTGGTTTACAGCTGCAGATGAGGCTGAGGTGATTGAGAAAGTCAAGGTATGTAGTAAAATGTATAGAATCAGTATTGTTTAGGAATAGGAACATTGAACAGTACCATTTAGGACCATGAAAACTATCCATAAATAAAAACAAAGTCATATTTAATACAGAGAATGGGCAGCTAAAATTAATATTGTTAAAATGCTAATTTTTTAAGTGAGTTCTTGGGTCAAGTCACGAATAGAATTTTTTTTTTTAGAACTGTTCGGCTATTTCATGGCCTACACAATGTAATTAATTGGGGAAAAACTGTCTCTTGCCCCCATGAAGTTGTAATTTAGTTGTTATAAATCACGTCTTATTTTAAATTTAGGATGCAGCTGAGCACTGGTTGAAACTGGGACTGGATGGCATCAAAGTGTCCGATGTCACTGTCCCGGCCCAGGCTGCGGAGTGGGCCCAACTGCAGGCTGCTATCCAGAGCAACCGCACCGAAGACACCAAGAACAAGTGAGTCTACACTGGGTAGCTAAGATAAATACTTCAAGGACACAGTGGCAAGAGGCTGAAAACGTGGGAAGAGAGTATTTCTTACAAAAACAACTTCATATTTTGACAAAAGACCTAACTAGGACATTTTAGAATCAAAGCGTTCCAGTGCAGCAGGGGGTGTGGGTGGGGGTTAAGAAGGGATAGCTTCAAGGACCATTCATAGCAAGACGCACCAGCACAGTGTAGCAAATGCGACCCCTTGTGGAGAGAATAAGTCACAGCAATACATATAAATTGGCTTTTTGTTTCCAGATATGTAGGATTTAATTTATTTCAGTTTATTTCTATTTATTTGAATTGAGACAGTGTGTCAGCATTCAGCTTCAACATAAATATACCAGAGTTGGCACAAAAGCAACATTTCATCTGTTGTAATGTCAAGTAATGTGTCTAATTGTCTAACTGAATGATTCATATTTTTACCTGCATTATGACAAGACATTAAATTAAGCCATGTATATTTAAAAAACAAAACAAAACAAAAAACCATTGAGCCGACAAGACAACAGACATATGACGCACATGAGACGTTACAAAGGAAATGGAAAACATCAAGAGCGTTAAGAGCTCATGCAATTCTTCTTAGCTATTTAATAACTTGTTTTCTAAATATGATGTTGGCATGTTCAAATAAAAAAATATTGCTTGTCTTGAACTGAAAACAGCGCATTAGGTTTGGACTATTACTTTACTATTACAAAAAAAAAAAAGTGTAACCAAATTAATAATAAAAAAAAAAAAATGTTTTGTGTAGGCCAGTCACAATAATTAACTTCAATATATGAAAGCTGGAAAAAATATTTTTTGGGGTCAATATTTATCGTGTGTCCATTTTTCATTGCACTATTGCACACATTTATTTCTGACAGCTTTATTTTTATTTTTTTTACAGTATTGTAGATTTAGATTTAAAATAGTTTTTGTGATTTAAATCTGCTCTTGGGTGTCAGTAACATAAATTAGTTGCAATAGTATAGTTTATCGACTATATTTACTTACCAAGCTTTGAAGTTGGATATATTGCTGTATCATGACGGCCCTAGTTTTGTGTTTTCTTCACTGACTTACTTGACCTCTTCCTGTAGGCTGCTGATGGGTGTGGCTGAAGGAATAACAGCTCAGGAGGTTTCTCAATTTGTGAACACCTCTGGCATCGACCTGGTCCTGTCCGACCTGCTCACCATGCAGAAAGGTAACGCTGCAGTTAATTATAATAATGACGTGATAATCTCACCGTTCTTAAGCATTATAAACACTCCTATAACAGAAACAAACACACAAAGTTACAATATAAAGTAAAGAAGAGTTTGCAAGTGAGTCTTTAAGGTGTAAAGATGATACTTCTTTTAGTTAGAGCACTATGTAAGTTTTTGGTTGGTGTCCTCTATGTATAGTCTTTACAGATTTGTAAATTGTTGGATTTAAACATATAAAGTAGCAGCCCATCTCACATGTTCAGGAAGACAAAGCAATGTTTGTACAACACACAAGTCCCCATAGAGAAACAATGAGACAAAATAAAACTGAATGTTGTTTGCAGAGGGCCTTGTGATAGAAACTCTTCATTAGTACTGTAACGCCAATAATCTTTATCCTCTACAGATGTGATGGACACACTGACCAACATGGACTTCCTCAGTGCCCTGAAGATGAACCTGGGATGGGGAGTGGGCGCTGCTCAGAAAAAACAACTGGCCAGTCAGATTTCAGCTCCAGGACTGACCCGCCTCTACCAGCTCCTGCTCTTCACCATGCCCGGGACCCCTGTGTTCACTTATGGAGACGAGATCGGCCTGATGGCAGAGGTAGATTTCATTTTATTATTCATTCATGTTCAAATACAAGTCACTTATTTTCTACATACCATTACAGTCACATTTGTTATTTTGTGTATGGATGTGAGCTGGTTATTATGAGATAGTTTTCATAATATAACTCTCAAAAAACATGTGCATATATTATAAATAAATACAAATATATACTGAAAATACTACCAGAAAGTTACCAAAACTGTAGTGTTATTTGACTGTAAATCATCTCTTTTAGGGTACTACAAATCCTAAAATGGTTTGGGACCTTGAAGAGAAACCAGCAGAAGGTGCCGTTAATGCGACAGCTGAGGTAAGTCCCTATTACCTCTTCATCTTATAATACTTTAATAATGTAACTAATAAAATTAAGTTGTATTTACATGAGTATCTTCTTAAAGGGCCCATATTACATTATTTTCTGATCAATGTTATAATGTTTCTTCATCAAAAACAAACTGAGTTGTGTTTTGTTTCAATCACACATGTTTTACACAAACCCTGCATTTTTAGGCTGAATTCCTCTCAAACTGAAAACTCTGTTCCATCTTGTGACATGGTAATACAGGAAGTGCTCCACTGTTTTAAACTCCATACATCTTCACTGGAATCATTTGGATATTTTCAGCCCTAGAATTGCCAGTCTCTTCTGACCAAAATGGAAAAGATAAAATAACTTGAACTACCATTTGATGACAACACAAGGTGGAACAGAGCAGATTTTGAGCTTTGGAAATGTAGACCGTATAATATAGGATTACATTTGTGTGAAAACAAAAAAGTCCAGGTATATTTTGCTGATGTAACATTCTAAAATTACGTAAAGTTCACAAGAGATTTGTATACCTTGCACTGCTCCTTTTTTAAATGTTATTTTTCAGTCTATCCTTTTGTAAATACCAGATTTTTGTCCCTCAAATTAAATCATCTCCTACTTCCCAAAAATTACTCTTACTTGAGTAGAATTTTTGCTACTCTACCCTACTCACCTCATAATAATAATCCTTAATATTTGTAACTACTATTTTCAAATATTAAATTGTCTTTTCTCTTTTCTCCCAGGCTATTCGTAAGGACAGATCAGAGACCAGAAAATGGTTTAAGTCTCTGAGCGATTTGAGAGGAAAGGAGAGATCTTTGCTTTATGGGGACTTTTACAGATTTGATGCTTCAAGCGCAGTCATGTCCTTCCTCAGACTGTGGGACCAGAGCGACAGATACATCACAGTCATCAACTTTGGCTCAGCTCCGGCAACCATCGCACTCACATTTCAAGGAACAGGTATGTCCATTTTATTTTATTAGATCTTTATTAATGTCACAAGTGCGGACACATGATCCATAGCTAGGATAATAACAAAACTGTATGAATACTTTAAAATAAATACATTGGCCGCAAGTATTACTGTAATAAGAATAAGTCAGATTCAACAAAACTTTTTTTAAATAAAGGACACATTTACCTAATATGCTGTTATAACTGTTTATATAATGAGACAAAAGTCATGCAGTGGGTGTGGGGGAGAAAAAAAAAAAAAAAACACCTTACAACATTGCTTACTTTAGTCACAGAGAGGGCATCTGGCTTAAAAATTTGCCAAATCACCATGAACTGGTTCAACAAACCTTCGCAGAAAAGGGGAAAACGCAAAAAAAAAAAAATATTATATATATATATATATATATATATATATATATATATAATGACTCTACTGAAACGTAAAACATAACCATGGATTGGATCAGGACCTTCCCATAGAGCAAGACTTTAATATGGAAATAACTTTAAAGGTGCATTGTGTAACTTTTCCGGTGGAGGATCCGTTGCCTTCTCATCCCCATGGAGATGTTGTTGCTTTGTCCAGAATGATCCACAGTATTGTATCTCTCTGTCAAGACAAAAAAGTGACACCACCAAGCCAAGTTACCTATCATGTCTGTGGAGAGGCGACCTTGCTCATGTTTGTTTAAATAAAAACAATTTTAATTGAATAAATGCAAGATGGACGAGTTTATTTCTTCTGTGGAATATTTCAGCCAAAGCAATAACATCTCTATGGGGGGGGGAAAAAATCACATGACAAACTTTCTGTTGAAAAGTTACATAATGCTACTTTTCAGTTTTTAAACATCAAGACTACAAGGACGAGGACGAACCTGAAGTAAACCAAATGTTCTCTCCTCATGCTGACAATTTTGTTTGTTTCTGCAGAGGGAGTGGAGTTACCAGAACAAGCCAAGGTGAAGCTCTCTACTGACGAAGCGCTAGAGCCAGACTCCATGGTGAGCCTGAACTCCATCAAACTGGGGCCCGGACAAGGGGCGCTGCTGCAGTTCCCTTATGTGGCATAAAGAGGGCGCTGTCACACAGAAGAGATGACACAGAGAAGAGGGCATGATGCAAAAAAGAGTTAAAAGAAATTGGAAGATAAAATGATCATGAAATACTTGATTTTACAAAAAGAAGCCCATTTATGTGAAATGTGTCATGTTTTCAATATTTCTAAAAATTTGTGTGAAACATTCCATACTTGTTGGGCATTTTTATTGCAGTTTTTTACTTTGCACTTTTAAGATTTTGGTTTGCCTAGTTTTACATGGAGGATTGACTGTTTTCTAAATGGAGTCAACATGTTTATTGAACTTTGGGTGATGGTGGAAAAAAGTTACAATACAAATTTTAAAGAAGTGATGAAGAATAAACAAATTCTGCTCCCTCTACTTTGTTGTCTGTTGTATGTGTACAAACTAGAACATTAGGAGATTCTAAATCTTTTATATACAATTATTTTTTTAAATAATTTTGATAATGATAAACTCTGAAATAGTCACTGTTGAAATTGCAGGTTTGCAACTGTCACAATCATCTCTGTATTCACAAAATGCTTTTTTTGTCACATTTTAAATTTGAATTAGATTTCATTTAAGGGTTAAATGTGTGGCGATCCCACATACAGAGTTGCTTCTTTGAAGGGGAAAATACTTCACCTCACTTCTCTGACATTTCAAAGAAAATTTGTGGCCGACCCTTGTTTCCCATAAAGACGACGACACGCAACAGCGCAAGTGTTTTAATAAAGTGAATGACTTTAACATTTAAGACATCCAAAGATGTGGCATGGGTACAAGTTTTCAATTCATTCATAACACTCATTAGACAATATACATACAGACTGTGCTGTACTGCTTTGATCATCAATCTGAATAACTAGTGAGACTTTTGTAACTGCATTTCTGATCATTGGCATACAGGCTTTTGTTATTCATTGTGTTTGGAAATAAAGGCGCAAGTGTCCTGCCTGCAGTGCTTCCAAACTGGTACGTGTAACATTTTTGTTTAAGTGACTAGTTTAGTTTAACCTAGTTCAGAGTGCTGCTGTGGCATGTCAGAGCAGCTGTTATTATTTCTGATGACAGGGATTGTTTAAATTTGAGTAAAAACGCTGACTTTAAAAAAGACAGGATGTTAGGACCTGATGATAGAGCTACATTACAATCATTTAATTTGAGTAACACTATACTCTATAGTCAGTTAACAGCATATCTGCATAAACTATGTTATTATTATTATTTGATTTAACGTAGTCTAGCATTAAGGTGACAATGTCTTCTTAATTTGATCATTTACAACTAACATGATCTATCACATTTTACATTCATTTATATAAACTATATAACTTAAATGTTTGTATAAAATTATATTTAGTCTTCCACAGAAACCTTATTGGCAAAATTACAATGAGTTAAAATATCTTCATCAGCACTAAAACAGCTAATGGTGGTAATATATTATTGTTGCTATATTTTGGATCATAAAACTGATGCATGACATCCCCAGAAGAAGCCTGGGACTGAGGGAGAGACCCAGACTCACTGTCATTGACATCTGAGGGAAGTGTCTTTTAAATACAGTTGCTGTTTATTTTGTGTCTAAACATATTTTCAAATAGGTATGAGCCTTATCAGAACTTAATTTGGTCAGTATTTTATCTTTATATCATGTATGTAGGTTCTGATACAAGGTGCAAGTGATAAATTATAAAACTGTATGTGTCCCATTCCTCCTTTTTGCAACAGTTTTATCCTGTTTATGTAAGAAATGCTAGAATATGAACAAATTAGTCCTATGTTAACTGTCTTTTTAGCCATTATTGTAGTAGTTTTTAACTTGTACTTTATTATTAACCTTCTCAAGTTGAATATCGCTGCGTATTTTGATACTATTTAGATTTAGATACATTTACATTCACACAGTGGTGGAATGTAACGAAATAAAAGTACCTAGTAATTGTAGGTATCTGTACTTTGCTTAAGTACATTTTAAAGTGGATACTTTTTATGTTTACTTTACTACATTTGAGAGAAGGTATCTACCTTCTACTCCACTATATTTTTGAACGGGACTGAAAAGTAAAAGTATTTTTTATCATTGTTTGAGATCTGCGGAAAAGGCTGAGACTTTATTTTTAACATGTTCATAATTTGAGCAAACAAAAATAAAAACTGGGGAAAACACTTCTGATTTTGTTTTTTTTATTGAACAAATTCAACCCAAATCTGTATCTAAATCACTACATTTGAAGCTTTTTTAGATCTCAAAATCTGCGCAAAATACTTTTACTTTTTACTCTTTAAGCAGATTTTTAAACAAGCACTTTAATACTTTTACTTACGTAGATTTTCTTTTGTGATAGTTCTACATTTACTTGAGTATTTTTCTTTTGGTATCTGTACTTTTACTTAAGCAAGAATATTAAGCATTTCAACATTGAGCACCGCTGCATCCACACAGCCCCAGCCTCTTGCCATTAACCTCAGTACTTTTTGAGGTACAGTGTATAGGTCTAGTGAGGTATATCGAGTGAGTTTGTTGGGGTAATTCAGAGCCGTAGCGTTGCTGTGGTGTAGCAGGGGAGGTTTCTGTGTAATAACGGGAATCAGGGCCCGTCACAGAGTCTGAAACCAGCCTCCGACTCACGCACTCAGATCTGCGTCTCATTTTTACTCTCTCATACAGCATGACCTTTACATACCTCTCTGTCAAACCTACCTGCACACCTCTGTCGTATGATTCACACTGGGAGTTACAGTACTTTTATGTGTTAGAAAATGCATAAGCAGGACTGTACAAGTGGGTTAAAACATGCAAGTAGTTTAGAGTTAGACCTGGTTTAGTCTTGATTTAGTCCTAGTTTAGACCAACCGTTCTCAAGTTTCAAAAAGCAACTCATGGTCAGTCTATGTACGAGTTTTGTTTTTCCAACTTTTTTTGTTTGTATAACTTTATAAAAAACTTTATCAGTAGCCTATCCTTACTTGAATAAATGATCCTTATTCGAATTACATAGACAAGTTGGTCAAATGTTGTTTTTGGTATTTTAATAGCAGCTGCTTTTTGAAATGCATGAAATAACTTTAAAACACTTCAATTTTGATATGTACGCTTGATATAAAACATTTCTGTGAAGCAAAGAGAGAAAGGAGGCTTTATTAAAAATCATTTAATAATTGAATATTTACATTCAACAGTTATAGCTGTATTTTACCCGTTGTTTTGCAAGGTGAGCTCAAATCATGTTGGAGGAAGCGTTTACCTTAACAAGTAAAACGCTAATCATATTGTCTGGTGTGATGCTTTTCAAAAATGAACAAAGTGGACAAAGTCTAGATGCAGTATCATTTTACTTTCATAAATAAACAATATACTTTTGTAGACGATCATCTGAACATCTCAAACATGTCATGGTCATCAAAATAAGTTTTATCGTCAATAAACAAAACTCTCGAAGTAGGAATTTGCTTCGGCGTTATTATGGTGCACCACAAAACCAACAATGAATCATGACCAAAGTGGCACAGATCAAGCCAGACTTCATTTTAAAGACTCAAATGTTTGTCAGTGTCCACGCAAATTTACTCTGAATTAATAAGAATACATAAGATACAAGAGACAGCACAGAGGCAGGTTGGACAACACAAACGAGAACTGTCTGCACTAAAATATGAGACATTATTTCAAGAACAAATGCAGTTCTGTTGCAGGTTCGAATGGTTTTAATTAAATAGTCTTGGTCAGTCCTCTCAGTGATCACAAGTTTGATTCTTAAGTGCAGACAGTCTTTTGAACAGCTTTTTCAAACAAACTGTTCCCGAAAAGTAGGCTCATACTAAACACTCAAAAGTCCTATAACGTCTGTAGGCTGTTACAAACCGATGGGATTTTTTCTAAATTACAAGTTGCATTTTAAAACAGAACTACTATCTCTGATAATTAAAATAATTCAGTTATGATTTCTGAGCATCCAAACTGTCCTGTAGAATTTAAAAGACTTTAAAATCAGGTATAAGATACATGAAACAAAAGTACATTTATTTATTCATATTTTTATTTTCTCGATTTTAAGATTATACATAATGAAACAAAAACAAAAACAAAAATCCCACAACCCACCCCGCTCTTCACACTTAAACGACAAACTAAAAAACAGAAAGCACTGGGCTTACAAACATAAATAATCAGTCATGTCCAGTTCCAGTTAAGTTAATTCAAAGTCCAGGCGTTTACGAAAGGAGATTTTAAACATTAGAGTTTGGAAGTTTGTCTGTTATAGAAACTATTTAGAGAGATACCAGCAAACTGAACTGACAGATACTAAACGGGCAAGAAATACTTACTAATATTAAATTTACCGGTAACTCTTAGTTTAGGGACCACATATTAAACAGTAATGTGTATTATATGTATTTACAAATCCTTTATGGGACCCATTTCTAAGCACATTTTAAAGCATGTGATCAATTTTGTTTGACCTCGTTTAGTCCCAGTTTAGTCCTAGTTTAGACTTAGACAAACTTTATCGATCCACAAGGGAAATAATTTGGACACAGTAGCTCAGATGTCACAATATATAATAAGAAAGAGCAGCAATATAGATGATAATAACACATTCTAAACATATAACAAAAAAACAAGAGGCTGGTGGCAAATAAGGTGTATAAATGTATTTGTACAAGTAAAAATTAAATATAGGAATATAGTAATACAAGTTTATCTCAGCTATATACAAGAGGTTGTAAGGAAAAACAGAGCAAAGATCATATGATGATTGACAGGACGTAGGGCATAGACTTGACCTACACAGTCCCACTTACACTTAGACTTACAATTTTATTAGAATTTTTTATTTTTTTTTCCAACTTTTGTCTATTGTGTGGGCTTGAAAAGGTTTGCACAGTTTAGCTCAACTCTTCCAAGATTAAGATTTTTCTACATTCACAGTGATGTAAAATATAAGCTCCCAAAATACTCTAAGCCAAATAAGACACATTAAACGAAAGTACACTTGAAACATCGTAGAGTTTGGAAGTGTCTCCACTCCGCACCTCAGCCACAAGTCAGTCAAATACAGAAATGATTTAGGTGTGCAAAAGTCACAGTCATGTTACATCTGTATATAAAATCCTGAGAGAACAAGGTAGAAATGCAGTTTTACCGTTTCAAATAGTAAGGCCATTATCTTATCTGTTTTTTTGTGTCGCTGTAACTTATCTACCGCTATCTGACGTTTTCCTTCTCTGCGTCCTCACCTCTCACACCTCTCACAACACATATTTTTTTCTCACAAGGATTAGAAATATTGCATCATATAATATTGCCATGTTATACTGTTGTTACCTCCTTAAAAACATGCATGGAGTTGTGTTTTATTTCATTCACACATGTTTGAGTAACACTTTATTATTAGTCTGTCTACATCTCCAAAGCTGAAAATGCTCTGCTCCACCTTATGACGTCATGAAATGGGAGTTGTTTTCAAATGAGCAGCTACATTTTACTTTTAGTTCAATACAGATGGGCAATTTCAGCGCTGAGATTGTCCGAATGATTCCAGAGAAGGTGAATGGAATTTAAAAACACATGACATCACAAGGTGGAACAGAGGGTTTTCTGTTTGAGAGCAGAACTCAACCTAAATATGCAGGATTTGTGTGTTAAACATGAGTGAATGAAACAAAACACAACTCCAGGTATGTTTGTGATGAGGAAACAACATAATAACAGATCAGAAAACAGGGTCATATGGACCCTTTAACTTTTCAATTTTCTGTGACTAATTAATGAAATAAAACACTTAAAATTCACTCAACACTTAAAGGTGCACCCACTCGTCACCTGCTTGTCTCCATGGAGATGTTATTACTTTTCTTAAAAATGCTCTACTATCTGAAATTAAACTTATCTTCATAGAGAAAAACAGATGATGCTACCAGGACAGATCTGTGGAGAAAAGACCTTGCTCGAGTAAGAAAGCAATAAAACACGTGTAATTCCTATTCCATGAGTCCAAAATAGATCAGTTTAATGCCACACTGTGGTATATTCCAGTACGTATATATAATGAATATATGTGTATATTCCAGACAGTATGGTCACAATCATTTATTGGATGATTATGGTTCAAGGTTAGAGTTTCATTCACTAAAACTAGCTCTCAGTATTATAATTTCTAATTTTTCTTCAGCAAATTGTTATCTATACACAGTGTTGGCAAGTAACTAAATACATGTACCGAGAGTACGTACTCAGAATAATAATTTTGAGTAACTATTCCAGTACAGTTACTCTTTAATTTCAAAATTGCAGTACTTGATCACACAGTCTAAGCTTCAAACTATAGTGAGAAACATATGAACCACTACAGCTCTTGTTGTGATTGTATGTGTGATTTTTCCTTCTCCAGGTAGTGAGGAAATGCAGAACAAACAGTGGAACAAATATAGAGCTGTTTTAAATCCAGTGTTGTGTTGTAACACTCGGTGATGGGAATGAGAATACTCTGAAACTGTAAACTTGTACATCTTCATAGTACATCTTCACAACTGCATTAAAAAGTACTTTGGAAACTATTACGATCTATGGTCCAATCATAGTGCTGTATTCTGTATACTTAGAACACTTTCACGCAGGACTGCATATACATGATAGTGTAAAAAGGCAACGTTGTATTAAAAACAGCTTTATATGTGTTTAACTATTTATTATGCATTTATTTATTGCTGATCAGATAAGAAAAAAATCACACATGCACTCACCACAAGAGTTTTTATATTTGTGTTTTATATATTTCTCAGTAATTCTGTGCAGTTTGAAGCCTGAATTGTGTTTAGTAAAGTACTGTCATGTATTGCTTTAATTTTAGAAGTAACTCCAATATTTCTGAATACCACCTAATGACAAAGTAACTGAGCAACAATACAGTTATTATGAATGTTTTCAGTATATGTATTCTCTGTGCATGTATTCATTTACTTCCCAACACTGGTTACAGTATAATTTAAATTTGATGTAAAAGTATTTTAAATATTCAGAACACAGTACTCTGATTGGACCAAAACTTGAATACAAAATACATTTTAAAGCAGGTATTCAGTATTCTGTAAATACATTCTCAAAATATTCTTTCCAACATTTATGCAGTCTGAACATAAATCAAATGAACAGATGTGGGGGACTGACGCTGCCCTACTAAACCGAAAGTATTTTTTTGTCTTTTTTGTTTCCAGCGTCAGAATGACACAGCTCAGAGTCTTTTACACCACCAGACGATTCACAGCCACAACCACCTCTCTGCATATGTGAGAACAGCAAATACCAGCAAAGTGAACTATCAGCTACGAAACAGGCAAGAAACATTACTTTTCCCAGAAACTCTTAGTTTAGGGACCACATTTTAAACAATAATGTGTGTTATCTGTATTTACAAATACTATACGGGCCTCATCTCTAAGCTAGGGACTGCTTCAGGGCTGTCCCGTTTGCAAAGTGTTTTCTTTTAGCTGTGCTTGATGTTTTTACTGTACATTTTGTAATAAACTAAAAAGCAACAAAATATGAATGGATAATTAGTGGTAATAGGCATTCTAAGTAGTTCATTTTTTGTTAGTATTACAAAGTTACAACTGTTTTATTATATGTAGCTGTATTTAACTACTTAAGCCATGTTTTTAACCTCATAATGTTGTTACTATCTCCACTATTATCTTTATTTGTGAGAAATACTTCTACTTTTTACTCCTGAAGCACATTTTTAAACTGACACTTGAATATTTTTACTTAAGTAGATTTTTTCATGTGATGCTTTTACTTGAGTATTTCTTTGCTCTGGTATTTGTACTTTTACTTAAGTAACAAAATTGAGTATTTCTTCCACAACTCCTGTTCACGAAATACCTGTACATTCTCTTTGGTATAAAATTTAAACGTTTAAATAACTCACATAAGTTTAACAATGCACACAGATCGCTGCCACAAGGTATTTATGAGTATTGAAGACATTGAATATTACGTAACTTTTTCTGAGGACTGTTGTAGTGCAAAACAATATGGCATTTTTAATAAGGACAGTGCAGACGCTTTAATTGTTGGAGTTTTTATCTTATAATGGGGGGGTTTATGGACAAGGGGATGCTCTAGGGTATTCCATTTGCTTGTTTCTTATAAATTATTTAGATTTTCTTACTGATTTTGTTGGTTATATCAGTACTTACTACTTGTTAACCACAGTCCTTTTTTCACACGTATAGTTCAACACCAGCTGATGTCCTGTTTTTCCGCTGCTGGGCGATGGTCAGAGGCTCCTTACACGAACCAGGTACGAACTGAAATTGGAACACGGAAATTGAAATTCATTTATTTGACTGATATGGTTTTATATGTTTGAGTGTATTATTTTGGAACAGTTCTGATGTTATGACCTCATTTAACATCTGTAAACATACTACGAGCAACTACCGCTTCTTTTGTCTTTTCTCTGACATCTGCTTTATCAGATGTAGGGCTTCTCTGTTATCAAAGCATGACCTGAGTTAACATGTCATACAGTTTTATACGAGGTCGTCTGTGCATCTTTACAGACATCAAGGTGCACTGTGTAACTTTTTATGGTATTAAACCTTTCTATCTTCATGAAGTCCAAACTAGACCAAGCTACCGGTCAGATCTGTGGAGAGGCGACCCCGCTCACAGTCTGAATCCCTGTTTTTCTAAGTATTTTTGAGCTATAAAACCACCTGTAATTTAATACATGTAAACTAGAGCTGTTTAATGTCACACTGTGGAACATTCCAGGCAAAGGAACGACGTATCCGTAGAAACCCGCAGGTGATGGAACCCCAACCAAAAAGTTGCACATTAAAACTTAAGCTAAAGTATGATTTTTTTTCTTTTTTACCACCAGTTTTTGCAGCATCCGGAGTTTTTGTTTTTCACGTTTTCAAACTTTAAAAGGCTTTCTCCTTCAAAGTGGCTTCCCCCAAAGTAAACTCAAGCGCCTCAGCAAACACACTGAAAAATCCTTCATCCTTGGCTTGGTTTAGATAATGAGAAACAGCTTAAAGAATTGAGTGTTGTGGTGGTTTGATAGTACGTTTTATACTCTAGACTCTATTTCGGATTTTTGTATTTTCATTTTATTCATTTATTTATTTATTTTGGGGAAGAAAATTTCAGTTTACTTTCTTTTACAATGGAACGTACTCGCATCCATGCCAACGTCAGTGCAGTCGTACCAACAGAAACAAAGCAAAAAGCATACCAGTTACACGAACGCTTATTTTAACTTTCACCCCAAATTCCCCATCCCCCATCGCCCCCATCTTCCAACATAACAAGCTTTTTTTTGCCTTCTTCTGACATTTTACACCAAACTGTATGAACTATTTACACATGAATGAATAGAATTAAGACATACCAAGAATAATGCATTGTTAGAACTCTCTTATATTTCGTTTTCATACTCTTATACTCGAACACCCAGTTGGATTCACTTGGGTCAAGGCTGTCTCCAGCAAAAATAATTCTCGAAATGTTAACCAGAGAGAGAAAGTGAGAGCGAGAGATACTTCATTGATCCAGAGAGAAACTCACGTAATGTTATTTCGCTAAAGCCTTTTCATACAGGATTTGCCAACACTGTGAGATATGAAAACATTTTTATTTACAGTTTATTTATTTAATGAGACATGGAGAGTGCACAATATACATTAACCTTAACTGTACCTTTAGTCCTTGGGCAGGTGGATGTTTTAGTTCATAAATTCTTCTAATATAATATTTGCAGTTAAATGGATGAAGGCGATACGTTTGTATGTAGCTTAAAAGTTTATCTATCTTAAATGCATAATTTTTTTGGCTTCCGCTCTTTTAACTTTAAGTCTATTTTGAATTGACTTTACTACATTAAGTTTTGGTCTGTGTTTACAACATATATAAAATACACGTCACATTGTACATCTGAAATGTCATATCTCCATAACAGAATATTCAGTATTTGTTGATGAGTTTCTTTGTCTTCTTCTTCATACAGACAATGTCCTTTGAGCGCACGCCACTTTTTCTTGAGAGTCCGCCTGAAGAAACAACAGAGCAATATTTGGACGTCAGCAGTTAACTTGTAAGTAAAAAACATGCAAAAATCACATAAGCCTTTAATTTATTACACGGGTCAAACATTTCATGAGTGCGTCTTTCACTATTCAAAATTCGCTCCAGTTTTAGCGTGCAGCTTCATAGACCAGCCTGGATTTGTGTGCAAGGTTTTATTCTTCAAGAGTTTCATAGAAAGACTTATTTTTCTCAAAGCTTATTTCATCTTTTTTTTGCTTCTGAAAGTCAGTTGAAGTTAAGATAAGACATGTTCGTGCCTACAAAACAGCATTAAGTAACTCTCGTCGAAGTGCTCTAGATCGATCACAAAAGGGCCCTGATTTGCATACGCCGCAGCACTCTGAACCAAACTGTGGGAAACTGGTGAATTTTAAATGTGAATGAAAGTTTGTGAGCGGATGACAGAGCAGTGAGGAGGAGTGCGATGCGTTATCGCCATTTCTGAAAAACTACAAACAGAGGAGGGGGAAAGAGGACAGGTTTTGAGTTTTTAAAACTTACTTATTTTAGTGAGCTTCTCAGATCGATGTCATGAATAGGGTTTGGGAAGTAACAAAACACCGAAAATTTATCCAGCATGCTCACTGTAGTAGTATTTTCCAGTACAGTCTTTAATTTCGTAGTATTATTCAGACTTAATTTTCCTAAACTCTAAGGAATACATTCACACACACTTCAGCGTGCAGTCTTTAGTCAAACAAATAGAAAACACAGATCTTTTAGTGAGTACAGGTGCATTTTTCTTCTATAATCCATTATAAATTAACACATTACAAATTATGTTTTAATCAGGTGACATGTTAACTATAATATTACACTATAATATACAACTCAAACTGAAAGTATTCAGAGTACTGTGCAGTAGCCTTTGTAACAAAATACAAAACATGAGACTAAGGGACTAAGAATGGAAATTAGTTTTGGTTACAGTCCTGCATATTTACAAGTACATGCTTTTCTTTAGCATTATCTTGTCTTTTAAAATGCATTGTCCCTTTAATAAAAAAAAAAAATGCAAAATACATTTGAATGCAGGTATTCATAGTCTGTTACTTAATATAATTTCAGAATATTCTTCCAAACAGTGTATATGACATGGAGCATAAAAATACATGATATAACAATAGTGCAAGATCTGTTATATTCTATGCCACTATTCATTTATCAGACCTCAATAAATAAATAATTTGATCCAGTAACTCTTATACTGTACATTTTGTAAAGCACTTATACAAACGTGACTTCCAAAAATATTCAGCAAAAGACAACATTACAAGCAAAAAAAATTATGTATACTGTAGCAATGTCTAGTATGTTAATCCGGGGTGAATCGGGTCATATCTTATTACCATTTTCCACATCGCACTGTACACACAACCTCAACATTTACATCACAAAGCCTGCACCTACTGGACTGCTTATGTACATGAGTCGTTTAAACAAGATTAACAAATATTACGCATTTTAGCTAATTTAAGAGTTCCTGCTGTGGTTTACATATGACAATGACTAATGTTGTGCGTGTTGATCTCAATCGAAAACGTATTGACTGTGGAGTAAACTGGCTTTTATTTTAACTGGTGAGAGCAGGTGTTAAGTGTTCCTATTCTGTGTCATGTCAAGTCATGTTTGTAAATGACTTTATTTTAAATTAATCACGCAATATTCAGTGTAAATCCTAAAAAAAATACGTTATTTTTAGTTTCCCCTTTGACTCATTTTAATATCCATTCACAGTTACACTTTCGTTGGTGTTTATTTAATAATAACAGCTAATGGCATTAGCCCACACATTGCATTCAAGGTGGTGAAGTGTCTTTCCAAAGGACACAACGGTAAAAGGCACTAGAGTCGCTGCTGCCCCACCGCACCACCTGGTCTCCCGTCCCGATACTTTCCGAGATCAGACAAGATGATTAATGAAAAAAGAGACACATTATTTACACATATTTTGCTGTTTTTCTCAGGGGTGTCCAATCGTTTCTCATCAGGGGCCACAGATCGAAACACAGATGAGGCGAAGGGTCGATCGAGGGACATAGACTCGTGATCCAAACAGTAAATAATTAAAATAAGTGAATTACGGACAGGTTAGACTGAGCCATTAGAGCTTTATTCATGCTCAGATTTTCAAAAGAATACACTAAATATTCAACTATAACTTTCATCAAGGTCGATTTTAAATAACTTCTAAAACAGTAGAGACAGGAAGCTGCTGCAGTCCGTGTAACTAAGGATGCTCGTGAAAAAGTTCATTGAGAAAAAGACAAATATCAGGCACTCAGTTAGAGGGAAGGAAAGATCAAAAACACACTGATGCGCGTCTAAATAACTTGCAGTAAAACGTACTGGTTATGGTAAATTGGCCCATTCTTACCTGGAAGCTTGGGGGTCAAGAAGAAGTTGGGCTGCATTTGGTCTCTGGGCCATAATTTGGACATGCCTGTTTTATTTACTTTAAATAAACGCTCTCTGTTTAGTATTTATACTTCTATAAGCGCACCAAATCTGTTACTCCAAGGCAAAGCAAGTACACAAAGTAATTCAAAGTGCTTTACAGAATAAGGAAGACATTAAAATCACTATAGAGACAAATCAAAACATAAATAATCACCATAAAATTAACATTAAAAGAGAAGTTATATAAACACCTATACAGAACATAGAGAGTAGAGACCTGTCCAACTCCAACAAAGTGACATATTTAGTCACTATTGTACAATACTGTTTATAAATGCCATAAACATAAATAAGTGAGCTACAGCTTTGGCCTCAACTATCAGTACCAATTTAGTGTGACCAAGGTTGTATTTAACTGCAACAACTGAAATTACTATAATAGGAACTAGGTACTTATTTTAGTGTACTTTCAGAATGTCTCTGTTTGACATTTGCTGCGTGTGCGTGAGTGTGCCTGTGTCGTTTGTATGTAGCTCCTCTGGCTGGGGCAAAAGGGCCCGTTTTGGATTGTGGTGGAGTGGGTGGGATGGCGGTGTTTCCCTGAACCTCATCGCCGGTCGCACTCGTACTTCCTGTTTCACACTCTTTACTTCCTGGTAACCATCTAGCACTATGACTGTATTTATACCAGCTTGGACACATGTTTTATAGGTAGGGCTAGTTTTTGTTTTTAAACCAACAAGGACTGAAAATGTCAGTTCTCAGTTTGGGGTGAGTGAAGACGATGGATGTAATTTTGATTCTATAGGCAGATTTTTGGGTTCAAGACAAACTAAACAGACAAACCCAAACTCAGTGAACCAGCTTTTTGGACTCAGTAATGAAGACAAACTTTATTGATCCACCAGAGAAAGCACCTGGGCGTATAGCTGAAAAAATAAAACTAAAAAGCTAAAAAAAAAACAATAATGTGCAAGCTTATATTATCAATCTTTTCTAAAAGAGGTAGGGCAATGAAATACTCTGCAGTGAAAAGGTAACATCAGCTTATAGTGAAACATTCTTAAATATATTTTTGTTATGTATTTGATTTAATATTGAACTCCGTGTGGCTTTACATGTATCTACAAAACACATTTGGTCTTGAAACTCTAACATCTATCACAGAGTATAAATAAAACCTTAAGAAAGTTTATATAAAATCAGATAAGACGAGTAAAAACGGAAAGACACAAGACACTCAAACACACACACATACACACACGGCGCTGGGGTGTTGTAGATAAAGATAGCTGAAGATGGGAGATCCGTCAAATGTTTGTTTCCTCAGGATGTGGTTACCGCGACGACAAAGGCACACAGAGAGTGAGAGAGAGAGAGAAAGAGAGACACCTGCTTTGGGGCGAGCGACAGTGACGTTTGTGCGGTGCGTGTAATCAGCGGTTTACTCTGGCCATTTTATGCATCTCATAATGTTTTGCTATTCTTGTGGGCACATGGTTTACAGCAAACAATTGAGGTCTTCGCAACAGATGGACAGGTAAAAAATGAGTTTAAAATGCAACGGCAAAGCTTAAAATTTTACTGCAGCACAAATTCTCATATTAGAAATGATAAAGTTTATGAATTTTAATATCATGTCCACTCTAAACAACAAAATATCTTGTCTCGATTACGTATGAAACCTACTAACTTTGTACTTCAAACCTCTCAAAACTGAAATGCATGTGATTTTTGTATTAGTTTGGCTGTTGATAGTCCAGGTTAAAGGTCCTATATTGCGCAAAATTGACTCTTGTGAACTTTTGGCCACGTTAGAATGGCTTGAGTTGTGTTTTGTTTCATTCACACATGTTTGAGTAATCATTTATTATTAGTCTGTGTAAAATCTCCAAAGCTCAAAATGCTCTGCTCCACGTTGAAAGTCATGATTGGTAGTTTTAAAGTTAATTTACCTTTTACCTTTCAGTAGAGACTGGCAATTCCAGGGCTGAAATTATCCAAATGACGCTAGTGAAAGAGTTTAAAAACACAGTGGGGCACTTCCTGTATTACTACATGACATCACAAGGTGGGACAGAGACAGCTCTGTAAGTGTTGACGAGGAAACATCATTATAGCATAAATCAGAAAATAGTGTAATATGGTTCCTTTAATGCTTCTAGTTTAGGCACATTATCAAAACCGGCACTGACTTCTGCAATCATACATCATTATTCGTAGGAAATACATCACTCAAACAGTCCCTGTGCGCATGCTGATTGGCGCCTGAGATGTACCGATGTGTAGGTGACAAATCTCAAATGGGGAAATTATTAACTCAAAGACAGCGACGATTGTGAAGGCAGAATATACCCAGACACCACACTACGGAGAATACAAAACGCTACATCATGAGCAGCGAGATTTTATGAAAAGGAAATAACATGCTGAAACCTGGTAAAGACTAAAACCTCAAACTTATTCAATGTTTGACTTTTGATCTGATCTCTCCTCACTGTTTCTGTCTGACTCTCTGTCCTATTTACTCAACTTTGTGGTTTATAGAACACGCACAATGGCTGAGGGCTTAAGTGTGTTGCTATGGTGAATTAATTTAAGATAAACGTCAGTGCTAATTTACCCTCTTAGTATTTTAACTTGTATTATGCTCTATTATACAGCTTAGTACTATATATAACTTCACCTCCCGTAGACACATGTGCATTGTGTAATTCTGGTCGAAGTTACTCCACATGCTTATAGTGTGAGTTGCCAAGAATATTCCAGACTATGGCTTTAAACTTCTTTAGCTCCATGGATACAAACAGAAAGTACCATCAGGGCCTGATTTGTGGAAAGGCATTTTGAGTGTTTTTTGAGCAATAATCTCACCTACCATTCTATAAACGCTAGATAAAGTTACACAGTGGATCTTTATAGGGCTCATATTTTTCTCTCAAACCGAACTCTCTCTTCCACCTCGTGATGTCATGTGGTGATACAAGAAGTGCTCCTCTTTGTTTTTAAACTCCATACACCTTCACTAGAGTCGTTTTTCAGTAATATATGACCTTTGAGAATTACTTATGCGGATATATTTTTCTTATTTATAATCATAATTTGTAAGCACTTTTTCTGATATACAATTTATATTTAATGGCGCTCATTCCCACACTAACACAACTACAGTCACACACTTTACTATATTTTCAATTGCAGAGGTACAAAAAAGATTCACATAATGTTTTTAGAGTCCAGGACAGTATGGAAGATAATTCGTTAAATCAGATTTTTTCACTTTGAATTTTTAAAATCTTTTTAACTTTTCTTATTTTAGTTGCTGAAATTTTAAGTAGGCTTTTTCAATATTTTGCAACTTCAGAATACAAATTTCACCTTTTAAACATTCAGCACAAATATTTTCCTCAGACAGTCAAAATTCACAATGAAAAATTTCACAACAAAGATCCAAGATGCCAAGGCAAAAGCAATCGATCATGTGAGTGAGGAAGACAGAGGCTGTTTCCTATTCGCCGTTCTCAAGTGTGGGCACGTTTTACCCTTAAAAATAAATAATATAGAAATACAAAATAATAGAAATAAAAGAGATGAGGTTGGGATGAGGCTCATTTTGAACAATCCAATTTCCTGTTTGTTACTAAGTTCGATCGATAACTTCTGCCTTGGCATCTTGAATCTTTCCTGCGAATTTTCTTCACTGCGAATTTTACACTCTGAATTTTGAATGTTGAATTTAAGGGCTTGAAAATATTTGTGCTGAATATTTAAAAGGTGTCATTTTTATATTTAATTTTAAACACTGAAAATGTACACTTAAAAGTTCAGCAGCTAAAATTCAGAATAAAACAAATTCAAACATGTTTTTTCAGAGTTAAAAGTGAGAAATTCAATTGCATTTAAAATTCTAAATGTGATGAAACAAATAATCTTCCATAGGACACCATTTTGATTTTGTGACTACTTTTAGGTTTGTAGTTTTTGAAAGGTATGATGTGATAGCAGTGTTGCCAACTACTAATCATCAGTTGCCAAAAAAAAAAAAAAAAAAAAAAAAAAAAAACCTTTGTAACAACTTTTCATATGTTTTTGTCTCTTCTCATCCCACAGGTCTCGGTAACCTCTGGCTGCAGTAATGGATGACTGTTCACCAACCCACGCTTTCCCCAACCTCCATCTACCCCAACCTTTTCACATCGTCCTACCCGACCACCACAGCTCCGAGCCTGGATACTCCTCCGCTCAGCCCCCCTTACCTTTACCGAGCCAGGACGACCAGACCATCCCCTGTTTCCCAACTTTTGACGACGACCAGAGAGAAGTCTGTAATGAAGCCGAGCGGAGCCTTCTCAGTGCGCACAGCCTGGACGATGATTTTAACATGGGCGGCCATTTTGAAGAAGAAGAGAGACATTCGTGGTACGTCCCAAAAGAAACTTGGGATGGAAATACTGAAAGCTCCACAGATGATTATTATGCTAAAGCAAACTGCCACAGAGGCCACAGAGGAACAACAAGCTATAGTAGTTGTTCCCAATTGACTTATAACAGGAAAGCTAATTCTGGCTATGTCGCTAAACAGACGAACGCTACATATTTCAGAGACAGTGAACATAACTCGGGTCATATTGGGTTAGATTACTCCAGGACCAATTCAGTCACTAGTGATTTGGATAGAGAGGATTTCGGAGGAGGCCTTCACGAAGAACGGTTACAATCCTCAATAGCGGATACAGGTTCTTGGCTAATTGGAGAAAATTCATGGAGAGGGGAGTCGTGTTCTTCCAGTTTTACCCCTCAAAAGACTCTTGGACTAAATAGCAGGACGTACCCGCAAAAACTAGACTCATTTTCTGACGCTTTCATGTCCCAAGCGAAAAGAAGACTTCCGGTGATCACGACTGCAGATGCTCACAACTGGGACAGCTTAGTTAGACCGAGATTAAGCTGCTCCTTGGACTCCGATTCCTCGTCTCCCTCCCTCCCGTCCTTCCCTTCGCCGCCGTCGTCCAATCTCCTCAGCCCGCCGCCCACGCCCTTGACCCCCGCGTCCCACTCGCCCTCCAAAGTGGACTCCCCTAGTGGTGGAGGGTTGGCGGTGCACGCAGGAGCACAGGGAGGTGAAGGGGCAGTTGGGGCGCTTCAGTTTTTTCCTGTTCGACCTCAGTCTCTACTTGGTCCAAACTCAGCTGGGGTGGTCTGGAGGTTCCCGCTGTTGTCTCATTGCTTTACACAGTTAGCGGGAGAGACTAGCAGCTCCGAGGGCACCGCTAGAGCCTCCATCGCCAGCAATTTAAACTACAATACAGGTAATACTTATACCGGGATTAGTACAAACTTGCAGTGGTGGAAGAAGTACTCAATTCTGTTGCTTAAAAAAAAGTACAGATACTGGAGCAAAAAATACTCAAAGAATCAAAAGTAAAAGTATCTCTAACAGAGTCTGAGATCTATAATTAATCTTCAAATGTAGTGATTTTGATACAGATTTGTGCACAATTTTGTTGAACAGATTCACAAATGAACTTATTGAACTGTTTTTACTTGTGTATTTTTGTTGCTCAAACCAGGAACATGTTAGTGAAATAGAAAGTACACATACCTGCTCTCAAATGTAGCAAAGTAAAAGTAAAAAGTATACTCTTAAGCTTCTATAGATACCTGAAATTTTTATTTAAGTACAGTACTTTGCTACTTGTACTTCATTACATTCCACTACTGCAGTCTTTTAATGCTCAAAATTGTTAAATTAAATACAAATTTATATCAATCATTTTATTCACAACCAACTTAAAGGTGCAGTGCGTAACATTTGTGGTGGAACATGTGCCATCTGCTTGTCTCCATGGAGTTATTGCTTTGCAGAGAATGTTCCATAGTGTGGGTTTTAGGCCACACTGTGAGATAGTGGAACCGCCAGACTAAGTTTCAGGTCAGATCTGTGGAGAGGCGACCGCACTCACACTAAGAATGTATGTTTTTAAAGCGATGAAAACACTTGTAGTAAAATCCTGGATACATATGTTTAATACAGAACATTCTAGTTAAAGCAAGAACATTGAAACAAGCAGATGACGTGCCCTCTACTAGAAAAGTTACGCAGTGTCCCATTGATATTTTTTAACATATTTTTTCCCATACTTATATTGTTGATGTAATATATTTCATAATATTGATGACATTGTTTATAATTGTTTTATTGTTTTGTCATATTCATTTTGCAAATAGATTGTCTTTATTCTCTCTCATGTTTTTTGTGGTTTGACATGTACATTCGTCTGTTCATCTGCTATATTTGAAATGTTCTTCTTTTTTTTTTTGTTTAGGTCCACATAACGTCCAGTCACTGGTGTCTTCCTCTCCTCTTGTACCCGTTCTTCACCCTCCCAGAAGCCTGTGTTCCTCCGTCCATCCCTTCTTTCATTCAGCCTCTCTCTCTTCTCTCACATCTAACCATCAAAATGAGGACAGCACAAAACAGAAACCCTCCACTCTTCTCGGGACATCACATGATCAAGTAAAGTCATTTTTTTAATCTACAAGCAAATCTAAATCAATAAACTCAAACATTTCTGCAAATCATCTCCTTTTCTAATTGATGGCCTACTCTCTGTGTATTTCTATGGCAAAACGTTAGATACCATCATGACACAATTGGCAACAAGTACCAAAAAAGTTTTTAGAGTGTCTGACAACTCAAGAAAAAACACTTTTTCAGAAGCATTTTATCAATACAAGAGTTCATGGTCCTGTTAATTGTTTGATTTTCACCAAAAATGTAAGAGTGATTAACTGAACTGCTTATGACTGTAATTTTATTTGTGAGAAACTTGTTTAACAGCACAACTCATCTCACCTATTGTAGTACTAACCAAATCAGATCTTTCTGGTCAGATTGTGTTAAAATAAAGATCAGTTTAAGTCACAGTAGTGTTTCAGTCATCTACACACCCCCAGGAAATGCAAAGTATCAATATGATATGTTAGAATAAACATGTAAAAATATCTCCAAACTCCCACGTCCCAGGCATTTTACTTCTACTCGTGGTTCTCAACTTCCTGACTTTTCACCATATGTAGTTTTAAATGTGTAATTACTATGGCAACAGCAGTCCTGATCGCTTCCTTCTGTAGTTAATGTCTATTTCGGTCTAAGTGTGTCACAGATGTTACATGATGTGGAGTTGTATTTGATAATATCTCTTGTACCACACACATATAAAACCAATGCAGGTGGCACAATAAAATACTGTTATCTTTTGTTGTCGCAGGATCCAGGATGCCCCGTCTACACCGGAACCACATTTCCCAGCATGCTTCAGTGTGAAAGCAGACAGCGACGGGCCCACTTTACTCCTCAACCTCTGCTCAACCCGTTACGAAGAGGAACAGGGCTTTACTCATCCCTCCGTCATAAAGACCAAGACTGTGGAGAGGAGCAGCAACCTGGTCCTGGGGTTTTACCGTGAGACGATATGAAAATATTTATCTTATTTTTATCTTTAAAGTTTTTATGTCCACAAAGCACAGTAACAAAAAATGCATTCAAAATATAAAAAAAAACTAAACAAAACTAATGATAACCTTCATAACCAAAAGTGTCCAATCCAATTTCATAAACAGTTTCCAAAGTGCTACACAAATACAGAGAGCAACAACAATGATAATATAATAATAAAATAAGTGAGCAGATTTAATCATACTAATCTTAAAACAATAAAAACTGTGAAATCAAATAAGAGGAAAACCATTCAGAAGTGTAAAGACGGACACAAGATTTATTAGCTGATACATTTGAATCTATACAATGATTCATTTGCTATTTAAGATTTAAAATGTAGAATATTTTTTTGAATTTGTAGATGATTTATGCTGAATAAAACTACTAAAATTTTGCTTTTTAAACAGTTATTTTTAGATTATTTTACTGAAACCTTTGTCACATCTGTCTATTGGACTGAAAAACATATAAATATTGATTAAGCATAATTTATTTAAGGACGTCTTACCATGTAAAAGCTATAACATACTGATATAATATTATGAGTTGGTTAGTTAGCAATGGTGCAAATTTTTCATCACCCTAAAGTCCATCACCATGCTTTTACAAATACAGTTCAGTTCCTTCTATTTTAAAATTATTACATATTTTGTTTTTTTGTAGATGCATAAACGTGGGTCCAGATTTTCAGGCAGATATTCCTCCATGTTTGTTTGCCAATGGGGTGGAGGACAGGTCACGTGATGAGGACAAATCACCACCGGAACATCTGCTTTGGAAACCGTGGAATGAACTCACATATAACGCCTCAGTACAAGAACAAGGTAAAAAAAAAAACATAAATAAATACATAAAACTACACAAAATAAATGCATGCAAACTAGTATTTGTATATATAATGATAATACATAAGTAGTATATGAGTATACTTCAATGAAATACTTGCTGGGTGCTTTTGTAGAATATTTTAATATGTATATCTCAGTTTCACATTCCATTGCCGCAGATACTGTAAATGTAGAGTTCTGTACTACTCATTTACATTTACTTAAGTAACATTTTAAAGAAATTTTACTTTTCTAGCAGCATACTTTTACTCCTACTTGAATAATGTTCTTATTAAAGTAACAGTACCATTACTTTAGTAGTTTTGTTTACTTTTCCCTCTTGGAGTAAGTCTAAAAGTAACGAAAGTTTTATGTTGGCAATATAAAATGATTTTAACATTTCTGCTTCTTGCACCGCTCATTCAGATATAATGTAGTTTTTCTAAATTTTCTGTCCATCCTTTGAAAATACCGGAGTTTCAGTTGTCTCTTACTCTTTATTTTGTGACTCTCTTATTATTATTCTTGAAGTAACATTACTACAGAGTAAAATTTTTACCCTCCTCTGTGTTTTTGTCTCCTAGTGGAGAAGCTGCTGCAGATGAGTAGTTCCAGTTGTGTACCAGGAGGGGGCACCAACACAGAGCTTGCGCTGCACTGCCTACATCGTTGCCATGGAGACATCATGGTATGCACAAATACACAGAGCATTTGAACTTGTTCTGCTTTCACTTAATTAACCTAAACCAGATCAATATATTTTTAAATAATCTTGTAATTTCCTGTAAAGTTTCAGTAAACGTTTGTTTTGTTTAGGTCACTCTAGAGATGCTGCTTTTTACTCAGCCCAGGCCAGCAGGAGACTACCACTATCCTGGTAACCTTTCACCTATATCTCTGAGTTTGCTCCAACAGAAGAGTCCCATGAATCATCCATAAATTGCATTAAAAAAACAACTTTTAACATAGCTTGCTTTTTGCACATTGAGAGTATCTGTGTACCTACCCATTTTTCTAAGAATGGTTTTCAACTTTCACTTCCTCACTACAAAGTCATATCTCTACGTTTTGTTTTATTATCACGAAGTAGTTTACCCTGTTTTTTTTGTGACTGCATTCACCAAAGGGTACAATATTAATCAGTCCAATCTTTGTACAATAGCTAAACCTGATAAATCAAATCCTGGAAAACTCAAAAAGAGCATTTGATGTTAAAATGTACAATAAAAAAAAAGAATAATTTGCAATACAGGCAATCAAAGGCATGGTTCAAGTGGAGGGCTGATAAGAATAAGAGAGATAAGTCCACTATGTTAGCAGTAAACCCAAACTTTAGTCTACCCATACAAACAAACATACAAACATTTTCTTCATTCCACATAAGTTGTTTTGCTAATGTGCTCTTTACTGTAGTTCAAAAATAGTCTTACTCTACAGAAATAAGTGCAAGTGGCTATTTCCTTCACTACTAGCAAACAGTATTTCTCCACTTACAAATATGATTATGCAAAGGTGCAAGCAAAACATGAATAGTTACAAGAGAGGCCTTTGTGGAGAGCTACTTACAGAGTGTCCCCTCTAAATACTGTGTGAGGACAGACTGCCCATTGTTCACTTTGGTCCCTAAGTGCAACTAGAAATTTAAGAATGAAAGAACATTTGTAGTACACATTAGTAGCCTGGTTGTGTAAGTTGTAATTTCTCTCATGTGTTGATCAGGCATAAAGCAAATGATACTGTTTTATTGTCCTATGAATTAGATTTTGAAATATCTGTGCTTTACCCAAGTCAGTTTTAAAGTGGATATTTTTTACTTTTACTTCACTACATTTGAGAGCAGGTATCTGTACTTACTACTCTGAGAAATATTTTTATGATAGTGATAGAGCTGCTGAAAAGACTGAGAGGTTTATTTTTAGCACCTTCACGATTTGAGCAAACAAGCAAACAAAAATGCTCAAATAAAAACAGACAGAAAAAAACAATTGCAGTTGTTTCTGTTGAACAAAATTCAGCACAAACCTTGATCAAAATCACTACATTTGAAGATTTAAATAGGTACTTTAATAATTTTACTTAAGTAGATTCTTTCATGTGATACTTTTACTTAAAAAATCCTATACTTCTTCCACCAGTGTTTGTAAGTGGCCATCAGAATTGGTCCAGTGAAGGAGCAGTGACGAAATGGCAATAGGGGAATCACAGAGACATGACAGACTGGCGAGTCCTGCTGTGTTTGTGTAAGGGGTCAGGTCGTGTCACACAGGCCAAACAGTGACCTCAACATTAGTATATCGATTGATTACACAGACATTTTGCTTGATGTCACTCCCCATTCTTCACCCCTATTTCACAATGTTTACTCTCCTGTCAAATTAAAGATAGACTAAACTAATTTAGACAATTAATTATTTGTAGTTAAAGGTCCTATATTATGCAAATCTGACTCGTGCGAGCTTTAAGCCATGTTGTAATGTTGTTGCCTCATCAATAACAAGCCTGGAGTTGTGTTTTGTTTCATTCACACATGTTTGAGTAATCCTTTAATATTAGGCTATGTTTATATGATGATGGTCTGAACAGAAGATGCAAAAGTGGCGTTGCGTCTTCACTTTCCATTCCATGTTTAGACGAGTGGCTTCAGGAGTAAATTTGCGTGCATACGGTGATGCCAAAGTGTGTGGAATTAGATTGGGTATGCGTGCCAGGCGGCTAGGTGGTGGCACTAGGTGGTGATGTATGTGACGTAAATGCGTACGCGACGTGAGCAGATCTGACTAGAGTTTTGCGTCTTGGGCAATGTAGATGGAAACACTACGGCGGAGCATATTCAACATTTCCACTCCGGAGGGTGGTTTCAGATTTTTGCGTTTTTAAGCTCCAAAAACGCCGTCACCGACTAAAGGAAAGGCATTTTTACTCGCAAGCGTTCTTGTGTAAATAGGCCCTTAGTCTGTCTACATCTCCAAAGCTCAGAATGTGCTGTTCTACATTGTGATGTCATGAAGAGGTAGTTTTCCAGGTCGGAATTTATCCATAGAATTCTAGTGAAGCTGTACAGAGTTGAAAAACACAGTGGAGCACTTCCTGTTATTACCACATGACATCACAAGGTTTCAGTTTGAGAGCCTAAATATGCACGATTTGTGTGTTAAACATGAGTGAATGAAACAAAATACAACTCCAGGTGTGTTTGTGATGAGGAAACAACGTTACAAATCAGAAAATAGCATAATATGGACTTTTTATGTCTCATTTTGTGTTACTGAAGTTTTCAATGCAGATTTGAGATGAGTTTTAGACAGCTCCTCCTTTATTTTTGGTCCCTGTGCGTCCCCAGTATTGACTCTGCTTGTGATGGAAAACCAGTGGTCTGTGTAATGGGTCTATTATCAGAGACAGGGGCAGAAGTTAACATTGTGTTTGTCCTGTTTGTTTGACTTGTCTCAGGAGCTGATGTTTGGACAGAGAAAGAAAAGAGGCTCTTCACTGCAGCTCTAGAGACATACGGAAAAGACTTCTCTCTCATCCACACTCAGGTAAAAGCCCCATTCTTCTCATCAGTTTGCCAGGTGTTAAATGGCAGTAAAAAGGAAATGAAACATGGTAATAATTAAGTAAATTATGTAAGACTGATTAAAATTGGTATATGGGTTTGTTGTGGTAACTTTAATACTTCTAATTGGTGGAAAGTTTCATTTTTTTTCATAGAAGTTTATTTAATAACATTTTCCAAGTGTCAGCATTGATAGGATAATCTATTTGTATAAAAACGTAAAGCTGAGTAAAGCACACAAATAAATAGAAATAAATAAATAAGTACATGAGTCAAACATAAACAAAATCGAAAACTAACCTCTTCAATATATACCAGACTTGAAAAGAAATAATAAGTGTGAAAACATAATTCTGGAACTGAGGGAAAATTGACTGTGGAAAGTATTTTTAATGGTAAACGGTTACATTTTTCTATCGCGCATTTCCACCTTCAAGGCACTCAAAGCGCTTTACAACAAGGAACCACTCACCCATTCACACATACATTCACAGTAGCGTACGCAGACACTGGGAGCAAGGTGGGTTAAGTGTCATGCCCAAGGACACAACGGCAGCATTCATTTGTGGGAGCTGGAGTCACACTAGTCAACTTGTGAGTCAGTGGCTCTGACCACCACCAATCAATTTTAAAGCCAAAATATGTAGCTTTTTTAGCCAAAAAAAGTAAACTAAAATTAAAGTCTGTTTTTTTTTTTCATTATGGATTTTTTTTTTTTATTGCATTAAAACTCATAAAAACATGCATCCTTACTCTGGTTGGGCTTGGATCAGGGTTCTCCAACCTTTTTACTCGGGTGAGCTCCAAATTCCAAAGAGCTATTCATTTTAGCGATCACAGGGAAAAAAAATTATACATAAGAGCCATGAAAAGACTTAGATGGGGTACAGTTATTAAACCATTATTTATTTATGAATGATAGATTTACAATAATAATAATAATAACAGGCATTTAATTCATCAAATTTTAGTTATTCAGGATGATAAGTGTAATTCAAAAATCCCTTGGTGAGCTTCTTGGTCGGGGGTGGAGAGCTACTGATAGCTCCCGAACTACAGGTTGGAGACCCTTGGCTTGGATCTTACTTGGCCTGCTGGAGGGTCTATGCCTGCTTGTTTTCATGGAAATCTTGTTCCTTTGGCTATAATACAGCATTATATATGTGAGTGAACTTCAACCAATCATGTTTAAAACCATTTGCAGTGATTATGTTTCTAATAATAAATCGATGTAATCATGTATAAAAAGGGGAGTCAACAGGGGTCTATTGTCCCCAGCCTCAGGCCCAGAATTGGAACCTTTGCTTTCATTATTAGAGGGTGGCCCATGTGAACCTTCTTGACCCAGGGCTTGCAAATGTCTGACAAAGGGCCTGCATATAACTGTAAATGTATTCAGTCTTTCAAACTTTATTTATAGCACTCCTTTCCAACACTTAAGGCGACCAAAGTGCTGTACATTAATCAACACAATATAAAAACATGCAAAAACATTAAATAATAAAATAAAACAAAGGAAGCATACCTTTCTGCCAATAATGTCAAAATTCCCAAGACTCTCCCAATGAGAAGTAGTTTTATATTAGCTTAAAGGGATAATATTGTTCTTTATTTTTCCAATTTCTACAATATTTTCTTGTGTATTGCAGGTAAAGACCAAAACAGTTAACCAGTGTGTTGAATTTTACTACCTGTGGAAAAGACTGGGGGACAAACAAAAAAAATTCAACATGGAAGAAGAAGGCACAGCACAAGATATTGAGCAACCCAAAAAGGTACACTTCAAGAGCCCATATTACACCGTTTCTGATGTTATAATGTTGTTTCCTCATCACAGACATAACTGGAGTTGTGTTTTGTTTCATTCACACATGTTTAACACACAAACCCTGCATATCTAGGGTTCATATCGAGTTTCTCAAACAGACAAACACTTCGTTCCACCTTGTGATGTCATTTGATAATATAGGATGTGCTCCACTGTGTTTTTAAACTCCATACACCTTCACTAGAATCATTTGAGTAATTTCAGAATTGACAAACAGTACTGTATAAAAGGTAAAAGGTAGCTGTAAACATCAAAACTACCACTTCATGACATCACAAGGTGGAATAGAGCATTTTGAACTTTGGAGATGTAGACAAACTAATAATAAAGGATTACTCAAACATGTGTGAATGAAAAAACACAACTCCAGGTATGTTTTTGAGGAGGTAACAACATTATAACATGGCTTAAAATAGCCGTTCTTGCTGTTTAGTCAGTGGCTGTTTTTTAAATGTGAAGCATCTTGTCTTGCCTTGGTCTAATCTGGGCATGGTCAGGCGTCCTGGTTATCACTCACTGCCCAAGTCGTGTTCCAGGTCCCATGTCCTCCACAGGCATGTGTCCTCTGTTTGGTGAACATGTGGCTCATTTACCAAGGATATAGAAGTGTATCCCTCGCTGCCTTATTACCCATAATGCACCAAGATCAATTGTGAAAAACAAAACAAAAAAAAACAAGAGGGGCATTTTCTTTTGAATAACAGGTATAATAATTATAAAGTCAAGCAAGCATTCAAAAAAGAAACAAAATAAATAAATAAATGTAACTTAGGAAGCAAGGCAAGGAAAGGTACCTTGCATTTTAGAAACAGCTTGTGATTTTTGACAGCTTTTATGATTGAGAGAATTACACGCTCATCTAGTTTGGAATGTAGTCTCTTAATAGTTTACAATTGGTCCTTGTTTTTAGGCACCGCCCACCAGGCAGCCAATCGCACGACAGATTCGGCTGGAGGAGATGGTCCCTGTGCCTTTCTCGGCTGGATCCTTCCCCTGTAAACTCTGTGGCAAGTGAGTATTTAAGGGAGCAGCTATTTGGCTTGGGGCGGAGTTTTAGAATTTAAACCATGTGTAAGGCTTAAATTTGTTTCCCATGTTTTTTTTTTACCAGGATGTTTTACAAAATCAAGTCTCGCAATGCACATATGAAGATCCACAGGCAACCTCAAGAAGATTGGACCGACCGAAAACTTCAGCAGCAGATGTTAAATCGAGCTTTGAGTCGTGGTTTAATAGTGCAACCGCAAACTTTTAGTGAAAATAACACCACTAACGGCAACAGCATCAACTTGTTAGACACCAGTGTACAAGATCACATGAATCTACTGGCTTTTAATAGTAGTGGGTCCCATGTACTCCCCAATGTAAATACTTCACCAGAGCCAACCAGTGTTTTGCAGTTTCAGTCCATTTGGGGTCCATTTGGTCAAAACTCAGATCCTTCTTCATTTTTCTGTAGCACAGAAGTGAAAACAGAGCCAGAGGAAGACACAGCAGCCGCTAAATGGAAGTAGTGTTCAAAATAATAAACAAAATCCAAATACAGTATTGAAAATATAGATTAGATGTCTAGATGTCTTGTTTTACACTTTGTCATTTTTGTTTTCAGATTTTTATGTTTCTGTCCTAACAGCTATTCCTTTCTGAAAATATGTCAACCCACAATTCTTATTTAGACTTTATCTCATTCTTCAATCTTATAATTTCCAAATATTTAAAATTTGTATGCATTTTGTGAGTTTTTGAAAAGTTTTCTGGGACCATACTGAATAATAATAATTTTATAAAGGTATGGTTTCTAGCAGAGAGTTTCCATGTAGATAATGAATCCAGCCACAAGGGGTCAGCAAAGGACCAAATCACAGTATTATACCTTTGCTTTTGATCATACATCTATAATTAGCTAACAACTGTTACTCAAAACAATGACCCTTTTCAAACCAAGTATTTCTTTTATGCCGGTGTCCTTCTTTTTGAAGTTGTATTTACGCACATTTTACTGCACTGACTTGCTGTGTAGTTCTCAGGGTAGTGAGTGTTTGTCATTATCTTCAGTGGTTTTACAATACTACTGATAACAATGTTTGTATGTGTGTCTCTGATCTTTTCTTACATGTAGGTAACATTTCTACATTTTGTTCACTGACTTTCACAGTGAACTGCAAATATGTAAGTAATAATAAGGTATATTTTTGTCGCACCCAGTGTATTGTGTGTTTAACTGTCATCTAAAATAAATCCTCTTCTTGGCAAGATTCCAACATATTTTCAACAGTCTGTCTCTGAATTAGACCACTTTTAAGGTGTATTGTGTAACTTTTCTGGTGGAGGTTCTATCACCCACTTGTCTTGATCTTATATCTCTGGAGCCTGGAATGTTCCAGAGTATGACATTAAATAGCTCTACCTAATATTTACTCAGTTATAGGCAGTTTTATAGCTTATAAATGCCTAGAAAAACTGGCATTCTGACAATGAGCAGGGTTTGCCATTCCACAGATCTGACTTGTAACTTATTCAGGTTTGGTCTCCATGAAGGTAGAAAGTAATGTAATCTTCATGGACAAAAGCATTTGATGGCCCCTCCATCAGAAAAGTTACACAATGCGCCTTTAAACACAAGTTCAGTTTGTAAAAAAAAAAGAAAGAAAAAACTATTCTCCAAACAAAATGAAAGCACTTTGCAAACTTGATTTAGAAAACATAGGCTATTGTGCAAATGTGTAACATTTGTGAGGCATAATAAAAGAAGAAATTACTTTGGAATTAGAGAAGTAACCTAGAGGAAATAGGGTTAAAATGAGAGTGAATACACAGGCTCTAGAGTCTATTCATGTCTGTATTTGCCAGCTGACTGCACACAAACACTAATACTCCATACTGGTAGTGGTAGCCATCTTGGATCCCCTCCTAAAACTTTCAGCATTAAGAGAACAATGAGTGTTGGCATTTCAGAGAAAGAGTTAGTATGCTCTGATTGGCTAATATATTAGGTACACCTCTTTGACTGCTATAGATACAAGAGACCAGACAATTGTTGACAGTTTTCAGAGAATCGTTTGGTATATGATGATGAAATGTGCCAGAGGCTTTATTTATTATTTTGCGATTAAAGATCCTATATTACACAAAATTGACTCTGAGCTTATTATAATGTTGTTACCTGATCAAAAACTAACCTGGAATTGTGTTTTGTTTCATTCACACGTTTTAGACTAATAATTGCATATAATTGCATTATTAGTCTGTCTACATCTCCAAAGCTCAAAATGCTCTGTTCCATCTTGTGATGTCATGTAGCGGTAATTTTCAAGTTAAAAGATATCTTTTATCTTTAGTTCAGTAAAGATTTTGCAGTTCTAGCTCTGAAATCATCCAAATGATTCTAGTGAGGGTGTATGGAGTTTAAAAACACAGTGGAGCACTTCCTGTATTACCACATGACACCACAGAGTATTTTCAGTTTGAGAGAAGAACTCAGTCAAAATATGTAGGGTTTGTGTGTTAAACATGTGTCAATTAATCAAAACACAAAACTACAGGTATGTTTTTATATGTTTATTTATTATAACATGGATCATAAAATAGCGTAATATGGGCCCTTTAATTGAAATGCAAGCGTGTACCAACAAGTCCAACAAAGTTAATGTTGTACAAATTCCTGCACCCAAATTTATTGTTTCCATAGCCACAAATAGCTATGATGTAACAATCTGGCACAGCGTGACTGGCCCACTTGGCACAGCTCTCCTTCAAGCCTTTTTCAGGAGGAAACAAAATTAAAGCCACAAGTGGCATTGAATGGCCCTTGCCCAGCGCACGTTGCCGACACAAATGTCGTGCCCCACATTAAACCTAAACTTAACCGTAAACCCCAAGCACAAGTCTAACCCCTGGGCCCAATCCCAACGTCAGGCCTAACCATGAAAGTAAATCTAACCCCCAACCCTAACCCCTTTACCCTAATCCTAACCCTAATCCTGTAACCCTAACCCTAACACCCTAACCCTAACACAAATAATAATAATTTGAGCAAAAACAATATATCTGTTAACATGAGAAAATCATATTATATGTTTTTTGAAAGCTCTCGACCTTCCCCACATCACTGTGGGGTCAATGGTGAATGACGGACAATGAAGTGCTCATCATTCACCATCTCACCCCCTGACCTCCTATTGACTTCCATTCATTTACATCATCAGCAGTGATAAATATGGCCCAGGCCTTGGACCTGGGTTACTGGAATACTGCTGTTCATGCCAGGGGTGACTGAAAGAACGAAGCTACATGACATCCGCTCTCATTAGCCCATGCACTCATGTGTTCGTCATAATGAACGCAATATGCCCTACGCCCTGTTGGGGCTCGGGCCTAATAATAATAAAATAAAATAATAATATTTTTAGCAAAACAATATATCCTTTAACATGGGAACATCTTATTTTATGTTTTTTGAAAGCTCTCGATCTTCCCCACATCACCATGGGGTCATTGGTGAATGATGGGTGCGTCTGCACCATCTCTTTGCAGTCACCCCCTAACCTCCCTTTGACTTCCATTCATTTTAGCAGTGATACATATGGGCTCATCCTTGCCATGCGTTTGTCGTAGTGAATGCAATAGGCCCTATGCCCTGTCTGGGCTCAGGCCTAATAATTCTCTTGTAAAAAATTAAAGAGCCCATAATATGCTATTTTTGTTGTGTTGTTTCCTGATCACAAACATACCTGGAGTTGAGCTTTGTTTCTTTCACACACATTTAATACACAAACCCTGCATATTTATGCCAAGTTCTTGAACTGAAAACATTCTCTTCCACCTTGTGTTGTCATATGGTAATACAGGAAATGTTCCACTGTCTTTTCAAATTCCATACACCTTCCCTAGGATCATTTGGATAATTTTAGCCCTGGAATTGCCAATCTCTACTGAACTAAAGGTGAAAGGTAGCTGTTAACTTAACTACTGTGTGATGACATCACAAGGTGGAAAAGAGCATTTTGAGCTTTGGAGATGTAAACAGACTAATAATGCAGGATTAATCAAACATGTGTGAACGACATTATAACATGGCTGAAAGCTCACAAGAGTTAGTTCAGTGTAATATAGGACCTTTTAAGTTCCAGAGAAACTGTAATCACCGACTAGGCTCATGCAATGACAAATGACATATTGATTAGCTCGCAATCTTTCAACACTGATTGTAAATTGTGTCATGTTTGGAAATATATGCAGGGTTTTGAATGTGGCTCTGATTTGCACATTAAGTCTGAATGTGCCCTCTTAGGAATGTCATTGACATAGGGTTTTATCTGCAGTCGATAAGTGAACAAACAACAAAAGCATTGAGAAATAATCTGCTCATATGTGTGTGTTAATGCATGACTTATGACTGCAACTTGCACCAACTGTTGTTTAAAATACAAATGTTTTAAGACCTTTTTTCCTTTAAAACTAAGACTAAGGTACTGTAGTATAAACAACCCTAGCAGAGCTAGCATAAATTCACTTTTATTAGTGTCAGAAAACATTTTAAAAAAGTGAAAATACAATACAGGTGCACTTTTTGGTTAGGGGTTCATTGCCTGCTTGTTTCTGTGGTTTTGCCTTAGCTCTACCTGGAATGTTTCACAGTATGACATTAAACAGCTCTACCTTACATTTAGTCAATTACAAGTAGTTTTACAGGTAGTTTTTAGCTCTTTATAGCTCAAATACCTAGAAAAATTAGCATTCTGATTGTGAGGGAGGTTTCCTCCCCACAGATCTGACCTGTAATATGGTCTGGTTTGGTTTGGTCTCTGCGAAGATGGAAAGGTTTAATATCATACTGTGAAACATCTCAGACAAAGCAATAATACCTCCAGACCCTCTGCCAGAAAAGTTGCCCAATGCACCTTCAAAGCTTTCATAGTTTTGTTCAAATTGTTAAACTCAATACAAATAATTTATGATAAAATATTCACAATTGAATCATTAATCTCTTCTCAAATTAAATAATGATGCCAACACAGAGATTTCTTTCAACATAAGATGCCAGACTGGTTTCACATCTGTCTCTGTGCTGCAGCAGCATTTGGAGTAATCCCACAGTTCTCTATTGTGTATGGTTCAAAGCAGAGTCACAAAGACCCATTTAAAGTGGCTGTAATCAAACCCCAGTCTTTTTAAAAACCTGCTCTACTTCAGACAAAGATGGTCTGTATAACTGCATTATCACTGATTCTTTACAATGCATTATTACATCATGAGATTTGTTTAGACTTACTTCGACAAACTATTGATCCACAAGGGAAATAATTTGGACACAGGCGCTCACACATCACAATATATTATAATAACAAAGAATAAACATATAAATGGTAATACTAAGTTGAAAATAAGTAGTAAACGTAACAAGAGACTAGTGTCAAATAAGGCATAAATATATAAATGTTTATGTACAAGTAAAATTCAAAATGGTTCACCCAAGATATTTGCGTTCTCATGTTTTATTTTTGAATGTATGCAGTGTCCAATGTGTTTCAACAAAGGCTGGTTTAAAATGCTTTATTGAGAGACTACATTTGCATGCTCTTGCCTCAGAGCTTCATATCTCAGACTGGGCGACTTATCTGGCTCAACACTCAAGAAATATTATTTAAAAAAATGGTTAGAGCGCCACACCTAGCTGTAAATAGACTTAGACTTAGAGAAACTTTATTAATCCACAAGGGGAATTATCTGGACACAGTAGCTCACACATCACAATACGACATAATATAATAACAAAGAGTAAAAAAATATAAATGGTAATAATAAATTCTAAATAAGTACAGCAAGAGACAGCTGTCAAGTAAGACATAGTTATATAAATGTATATGTACAAGCAAAAATAAAATAGAAAAAAAAGCAATAAAATATAAAATTTCAGCTTCATACGAGAGGTAATAGGAAGACAGTGCAACAATGATATGATGATTGACAGGACATAGGGTTATCTGTACACATAACGGTAAGTTGTTGTACATTTGTATGCATTGAGTATAGTAAGAAACTGATGCTAAAAATTGCTATTAATTTATTTTTTATTTGGATTTTTAGAGGAGCTTTTCGAAATGATCAGAGAATATTAAGCTTTCAGTGTAACCGTATATTAGGTGGAAATGCATGGTAATTGCGCATTAGTTATTCAGAGGATTGCGCTCTTTAAACACTGGCGCTCAGTGCGTGCGCCCTTATCCTCTGCTCTGATTGGCTGAGCGCAGCGGGGGCGTATTTGA